CTAAAATCCCAACAGTTGGTTTAGGATTTGGCCAAGGTTAGATTAGTTCATGCCTAATACAGAGTTCAGGACAGGATCAGAATTATGGGTATAGATAGAATAGGGTTAGGATTCAGGGTTGAGGTTATGGCTATGACTAGGGTTGGGGTTAGAATGGAGCTAAGGTTGGTTTAGAATTTAAAAGCAATTGGAAAAATTTAGGATTGGATTTAAATTGTAAAAACGTTAGGATTTGGGTTGATTTTAATTCATAGTAGATTTGAGGTACATTTAGGAGTCACAGTTTAGATAAACCTGAGCTCCTATTAGAAATATATTATGGTTAGTGCTAGAGTGCAAGACTAAGATTGGAGTTCAGGGTTTTGTGTTTTGTTTTTGTTTTTAGTTTTATTGCTAGATTAAATTTCAGTTAGAGTTTAGTTCTATTAAGTTTATGTTAAGTTGGCATGTGGGTAATGTTTATGATAAATTTAAATCAGAGTCTAGTTATTATGATGGTCACCCAATTCGGAACTAGATGAGAGTTGGGCATACAAGAAGCACTTTAAGTGTCAAATTGACATGTTTGGAGTCTTAACTCAAGAATTATGTACAATTATAAATAATGGTTCATGTTTCTTCAAGCTTAGGCTCCCAGTGGGTTTCAGTTTCAGCATTATGAACATGTGCTCAGGTAGAGTAAACTGCATGTATGAGGATGACAACATCCAGAGGCAGAGATGGGGTTGGGAGAAGAAATGCCACAACACTGACTTCTTGGGCGAAGATAACCACAGTGCCCCAAGCCTGAGGCCACACTGGACCTTTCAGACCCACTGCTCTTGCACCTTTCATTCCCCCACCCCCCACCCCCGAGTTCACAATTTGGACAGATTGTCTTTCTGAGTCAGTTACATGCAAATGGGCTCCAGGCCCTGCATTCTGCCTGGGAAGCCCTTCCATGTGGGACAGGATGGACCCCGGAGTTACAGAAGGCATTTCCAAGGGGACACGGAGCATGGCCAGAGACAGATGTCAGCTCCTGCCTGGTCCGCTGTTCAGTTCTCCAGATTGTAACTGAGATGAGGCTAATTCTGATAAGGACTTCCCATTTAAATCTCCTTGAACACCACTTACTAAGACAGGCCATAAAGACAAAAGCAGTTTGGGTGGGGAAGATGGGAGTACTTCCCCTGGGGTGGGCTTTAGGGAAGAGGCATTCCATGGGTGAAGAACAACACACACAAGGGCATGGAGGTGAGATGAGCTGTGCAGCAGACTAGGGAAACCACTTAACTGCCCTGAGAGGGAAAGAAGGGGAAGGAAGTTTGAGGATGGAGCATCTGGGAATGGGAGTACAGCACATGGGTTGGATATCAAGTAGTGGATTTTGGAGTTTATTCAAGAGGCAATAGGGAACCGTGGAAAGTTCATATGGTAAGAATTCCTTCTCTTTTTTTTACTGCAACGTAGTACTCCATCTATACAAATGTACCACAGGTTTTTAATTCACTCATCTGCTGATGGGTACTTAGGCTGTTTCCAAATCTTAGCTATGGTAAACTGTGCTGCTGTGAACATAGGGGTACTTACATATATCCTTCCTGATTGGTGATTCTATTTTCTTGGGATACATTCTTAGAAGTGGGATCACTGGGTCAAATGGGAGTTCCATTTTTCTTACCATTTACAACAGCATGGATGGAACTGGAGAGCATTATGCTAAGCAAAATAAACCAGTCAGAGAAAGATAAATATCACATGATCTCACTCATTTGTGGACTATAATAAACAACATAAATTGATTAACAAAAACAGACCCAGAGACAGAGAAGCATCAATCAGACCGTCCAACCTCAGAGGGAAGGTATGGGAGGGTGGGGGCAAGGAGGAGAGACTAACCAAAGGACTTGTATGTATGCATATAAGCCTAAACAGTGGACACAGATACCAGGGGAGTGAGGGCATGAGTGGGGTGGGGGAGCAATGGGGGGGATAAAGACACATATGTGATATCTTAATCAATAAAAAAAATAAAAGGAAGTTCATATGTTCAAAATCAGCCTTCACGCTTGTTCTGACACTGTCAGGCAAAGCCATTCCCACTCACAATGCTACACACAGACACTTTCCCTTATGCCACAGTGCATACACAGCAACACCCCGCCAACACAGACACAGACCCCTGTCAGAAACACTCGTGCACAGAGAAATGCTCTCAGAGGGACAGCCACCCACACAGACACAGCTGCACACCTAGACACTTGCTCAAGCTCATGGATGTATTTGGTTGTAGTGACATGATCACTCTCTCTACACCAAGTATACAATTTTACAGTTGCATGCACAGTCATAGACACAGTAACAGTCACACACACACACTCAGCCACAGTCATACACATTGCCACTGTCACCAGAGGCACAATCCTGCCCACATTCCTACACTTCCTATAAGTCAGCAAAAGCTGAGGGACAGGAGGAGGGTTGGCCCCAGAAGCTACTGCTATAGCCCCTGGTCTCCAATCCCTCTACTTAGGGCGGTGGTTCCCAACAGGGGTCACAAGCCCCCTATGGCGGGCAATTTGATTTTTAAGGGGGGCAATTTGAGAATGAGTTATTAACAGTGAATTTTTTAATTTCTTATGGTTATAGGGGCCTCAGATACAGTATATAAGCATACTGTATATTGTGATATTTATGCATTTCAATTCTCTATTATATGTTTTGAAACTTTATTTGCTAACTTTTCATATCACTTGACATTATTTTTTAACAACTTCTTAGTGATTTCTTTCTCAATACTTCAACTGTCCTCTTGTTCTTTTATTTTTCCCTTTCATGGATGCCATTTTCTTTGGAAGCTTGTCTAGACCCAGTGAATGTCTTTTTAGGCTTCCTCTATGTGAACAGTTCACTTTCTGAATAATAAGAATTATATGTCACGGGGGTGGAGGGGGCATTAGAATTTTAGAGATGCTGGCGGGGGGGGGGGGGGGGGATTGGCCAAAAAAAAGTCAGGAACTAGTGACTAGGGTTAAGCCTAACACTCACTCTGGACTTCACAAAGAGTCAGTCTGATATTCTCTCTCTCGACTTCACAAGGCTTGAGGAGCCTCAGCCTCATCATGCATTGGTCTCTTAAATGTGCTGCTTACAAATTTCTGAGTTGTAAGCAGCACCAACCACCCTCTCCCCCATCAAATTGGGCCCCAGAGAACAACCCAGCTGCCTCCTGCCGTTGGGGCGAAGCCAGAGGAAGGGGGATGTTGCCTCTGCCCTGAAGTTAAGGTGTCCCCAGGTCCTCGAACCCATAAGTGTGGCCAATAACCCCCTCCTTGGACCCTCCAGCAACAGGCTACACCTGCCGCCTGCTGCTGTCACCTCCTGTGATGTGGAAAGGCCATTGAATACACTTGGAGCCAGGGGCCAGGCTGATCTGTCTCCCTCTTCTGGCTGAGAGCAGGAGTCATACGTGTGAGTGTGAGAGCGTGTGCTGTTTGTGTGAGGCTGCGATTGTGTAATACCATCACAGTGATGCCTTTGAGGGAATAGGACTGTGTGCATACAGCTGTGCCTCCCTCTAGGTGGCACTTCTCTGTTGTGATCCATCATGAGCCTATATGAGGGTAGCCATGTGAGTGAAGGTGCAAGGCTGTGGGCCCCCGAGGCTTTGCACAAAGATGTGATTTTGTGACCAGTGTGGGGATTTGGGCATCACTAGTATGCATGAATCATCGTGGGGAGAGTGTTTAACAGTCTAAGTGATCACTGAAAGCATGAATGTGCATGACAGGTTGCAGTAGCTGTCATGGTGCTGTGAGCTTCCTTGAACAGGGGTATGTGAATGATCGTCACCCTCTGACCTCTGGGGTATTTTGTGTTCGCAGTTGACCATCTGATTATGTGCGTGATCTGGGTGTGTGGGTCTATGGTTATGCTGTCTGCTTACTTAGGGGTGAATGAATGTACTGGGTCCACATTTCCATATTTGATTGCTAGTGCCCATGTATTTGCAGAGATCAGCTTGAGACTGCACATGTTTGCATGCCCACATGGATGTGTTTGTGATTACATAGGAATGTCCTGCAAACAGCTCAGGGATTTGAATGTTTCTTGGAACCAATTTAGACACAGGTCAGAGCAGGTCCAGTTTCCAAAGCCATTTTATAAGCAGGCTTCCCCCATGCATCCTACCCACTCATCCCGATCCTCTTCCCTCCTGGAAGGTAGAGCACAATTGGGAATTTCAGAAAATATGTTCTTCTAGGAGCCAAAGTCAGAGGATTCTTCTTACCCAACGGAGGCAGAAAATGAAGATTCTAGAGTAGGGAGGGCATTTATATGTTTAATAGAGAAGGACATGAAAAGAAATTAGATTGTTCACCTGTAGAGATAGCCTTCAGCAAATCGGTGTCTTAAAACCCCTCTCCTTTTAAGAACCTCTGTTGGAGAATTGTCCAAGATTTATGCAATGAGACCCAGACAGAAAAAAAAAAAAAAAAAAAAAAAAAATGGAGGCATTGAAATAAGGTGCCTTGATACTTAGGGTGCTGTTCTCAGAATGTCCACAGGAGTGCGCTATTGCAACACCTGCCTTCAAAGGCATTTCAGACTCCTAGAAATGTTTCCATACTAAAAAGTTTAAAGACAAAAATATGAAAAACCTCTTTGCAAAAATCAAGTTCAAGTTCAAGAAAACTCTGACATTCTTGAGTTTTTATGAGTATCAGAGAAATGTTCCTGCAGATTCAATAACTCAGAAACTGGAGCTTTCAGACTCTTTCTGATTAATGAATGAGTCCTGTACTCATACATTGGAATATTAAACATAACACAACAAATATCATTGGGTAATTTTGTGGGTGCCATCTTCAAAAGAAACCATTTCCAGAGAATGACAGGAAAAACTAGGAGCAGGTCAAACTCTTCGTACAACTGGAAATCTTTTAGGACTTCAGAGAGAAGATAAAGTACCAAGAATTATTTCTCCCCATCCCAGAAACAGAGAATGAGTCTTTTGATTAAGCAGCAGCTATGTTTAATTATGCAATTATTCTGGTCCTAATCTAAGAGAAACAATCCAAGTTTAAAAGGAGTGAAGCTCTTTCCTCCTCACTTATTTTAGAGGCAAGTAAAGGTAAATGAAGAACACAGAATCCCTAAGTTCAGGCCCTGGTAAAGGTCCCAAGGAGAAGTCCCCACTCCTTTTAGCCCTATGTCCAAGGTCACAGTCCTTGGATTTCTAAGCATCCTGCTGTAGAATAAGTCTGCCCCAGTGACGCCTTCTACCTATGTCTCTGGAGACTCTTTACTCTGTAACCCAGAGAGTTTCTTCTCCTCAGCCGCATCATCAGCAGACTGGAAAATCCTCAGTATTTTTATCATACTTGCTCTAGATATACTGGATGAAAGGTCCTTGGGAGTCTCCTCTTGGGCTACTGGCACTTCCTCTATCTGAGTACCAAAGTCCTTGATAGTGGATTCTGTCTTGGATAATTCAGGACCTAAAAGAGGACCCAGCCATTAATTCTTATCTGTAGCCTTCTCCCAATTAGCTGTGACAAATGGAGGACAGAAAAGGAAGGACTTGGGTGTCTTCAGAGATGTGAACCATCCTGGTCAACACAGGTTCAGCTCTCCCTGTCCTCAGACACTTCCTAAGGTTCCTCCATGCTAGTAACTCACTCTGCTTAATGGAGAAGGAATCCAGGTGGTCCTCAGCAGAGCCCGTCTGTGGTCTCTCTGTGGAATCCTGAAATTCATGGAGTAAGTATGAGAACACTTGGAACTTTAGGAAACAAATGTGGGTTTTATTGGTGTGGGTTTTTTTTTCTTTTCTAAATGATGCTTTTCTTAGAAAAATTTACATCTAAGACGAGGACAAAAATCCCACCTCTTGAGACTAGAGAAGCTTGTATCACGTGTTCTTTGCCATCCATGATAACCAGATGAAGCCAGAATCTACTTTTACCCATTCCCAGTTGTAAGCTAAGGGTAGATTGTCTCCAAAGATGGCTGCCAACAATTCCTCCCGTTCCTGTATGCACATACTGTTCCTTCCATCAAGAGAGGGAGTCTATTTCCTCTCCTCTTGAATCGGGGCCAGACTTGTGATTTTTTTGACCAATAAAATGTGGCAGTATGACACTGATCCAGTTCCAGGTCCATCCCTTAAGCAAGTGCTCGCATGAGATTATTATGCTGTCAAGAAGCCCAAACTAGCTACATGTAGAGAACTCATTACGAGAACCAAGGCAATTTGGTCAATAGTCCCAGCCCAGACTCAACTGAATGTGGCTCCATGAGTGACATCAAGCAAGACTACACAGACTATCCAGTCAACCCACAGAATCATGAGAAATAACAAATGACTAAGGTTTCAGCTTTGGAGTTGTTTGTTAAACAGCAGATAATTGAAACAGGGTCCTAGCCGAAACTGGTTTGGCTCAGTGGATAAAGCATTGGCCTATGGACTGAAGGTCCCAGGTTTGATTCCGGTCAAGGGCATGTACATTGGTTACAGGCATATCCCCAGTGGGGGTGTGCAGGAGGCAGCTGGTAGATGTTTCTAATTATCTCTCTCCCTTCCTCTCTGTGAAAAATCAATAAAATATATATTTTTTTAAAAGAAAGAAACAAGGTCATAGCAGAAGAGCACTCAGACACTCTCACCTGTTTCAAGATGGGGCCATTCTCCATCTGCGGCTGCTGATTGCTGTCACTTTTCCGGCCCAGTGATAGAGTTCTGTGACCTAGTGACCACAACGACAGCTCATTTCTCTTCTTGTCTGTATTCCATATCTTATTATTGGGCCTCTAGTTGAGCCCCTAGTCTACAAGTGACTCCCCATCCAGGACAAGACAGGACCTTAGAGGCAGCTAAAAGGGAGTTAGGCTTCCTGAATTCTATCTGTGATTCTGTTCACCTGTGACTGCCCACATCTATTACAGAAGTAGAGATTAAGGTAAAGTGAGTGTTGAAAGACCCAGGATTCCTTCAAGAAACCTAAGGGGCAGCTATCTGGACAGCATATCAACAAAAAAGTCCCTAACTCTACCTTTTCAGTTTATGAATACTCCTCTGACCTTCTTGCACCATACCTAATATACCCTTATTGATTTCTGAAAATGAAACCACCACCACGCCCCCCAAAAAGCTCTAGTTTCACAATTCTTTTGCATCAGCTTTATCCCCAGCTAGTCCTGAAATGCATTGATTCTTTCCAGTAAACACTTCACCTGAGCCCTCCCAGTGCCCCAGGGTTGGAGAGTGAACTATCGGTTAAACAATTATTTTCACATTACAGTTGGCAGTGCCCAGGTTTAGGGGGATTCTTTCTCCCTCCTTTCCTCCCATTCTGCACTCATGCTGAGAAATGTCAGAGGGACGGGGGTAAGTATATCTTTCAGCTCAGACATAAAAAATCCAAAAAAGATGAGATATGCATTCTATCACCAGCATGAACACTAGAGGAGAAAGATCGTCAAGAATCTGCTAACTGCCTCCTAGATGGGGTTAGATAATATGTTGATCTCAACCTGAGGCTGCAGAGACTAATTTGTGGCAGAGGAAGCAGAGGGCCCTGGACTCTGCTTCCTTAGAACTTTCTTGGGGCTTCAGTGAGGGCCCCGGATCTCTGCTTCTTCTCTTCAGTAATGTGGGCTTGCTCATTATCCTCAAACCACTCTGCCTTTTCTAAAGTAGGACCTGAGTGATGGCTCTGACTCATGCTCATGGTCCTCTCTCAAATCCCATGAGAAGCAGACACCTGGCCCAGCTTGCTTAGTAAATATTGGATGGAAGAGTTCCAAAGGCAGGTTCCCAAATGACAAGCACATTCAGCTTTTCCCTGGGATCTGTCACTCTCAACCCATAGTCCCCTCACCATAGCGTGGGTTCCCACAGTACCTAAAGATTTACGCGCAGTGCTCTGGCTCCCTGGATCAGTCATGGATTTCTTTTTAGCCTCCTGAAACCCACATGAGGAAGAACTGAGTTAGAACTTTTAGAAGTGAAGAAAACTTTTCAAAAAGAGTCTAAAAGAAGGAAGTTAATATCCACAAGCAGATAGGAACTTTGTATCTACAAAGTTCTATGAGCAGACAGAGTACAGGGAGAAGCCTGCCTCTAATACATCCCTGCCCGTTCCAGGCGGCACCCACTTATCGCAGTCCCAGCAAGTCCCAGGTGGCCCCTCACTGCCACTCTACCGGTTTCTTAGAAGGTGTCTTCGACTTCTGCTGCTGGCTCTGCTGCTGCTTCCGAAGACCTGGAGGTCAGAGAACCAGCTCTATCCTCTCCTCCCTGAGAGCTTCCACCCTTCCCCTGGGCTGCTTGCTGTGCCTTGCTTTACAATGGTGACTCTCTCTCCCTGGTCGGCCAAGCCAAGGCCTGGGTAGTGGTGGTTGGTGGTGGTAGTAGTGGTGGTGGTGGTGGTGGTGGTGGTGGTGGTGGTGGTGGTAGCTGCTGCTTCTTGAAATTGCAGTTTCCTGAGTTCTACATGTGACCCTGTATGACTGGCCACAAACATAACTGAATTTGCTTGAGAACAAGTATGAGAATTGTGGGCTGAGGAGGAATGGTACCTGGATATCTGGCAGCACTAGAAAGCCTATCTCTTATCTTCCGGTTATAACATAATTTCTTCAAATATTCAGGATATTTCAATGATGGTCTCTGCAGAGAAAAAGGAAAGCATAGGTCTTTCCCCAAATGGATCCCCCAAATTCATTCATCTGTCTAATCCTCATGCAGTTTTTGAGAACCTGGTGTGTGCAGCATTGTGCCAGGGGCTCTGGAGAGGAGAAAGGTACAGAAAACGAAGTGCATAAGAAATAAACACTGCTCTTCTCACACCCCTCCCCAGACATTTGCTTTCACCTATATAGAGCCCAGCCCTTCTCTGGGGCTTGGGTCCAGAGTGGAAGGATAGAAGAGAAAACAGAAAACAAAAGTCAACTCTTCCAGCCTTGTAGATGGATGAGTTTGGATTTGCATATAGACATCTTGCTCTGAGGCTCCCTAACTCTTACTTGCAGGGTGAGGCGGTGCACAGATAAAAACATCTGACCAGAAACGGCGCTCTCAGGCCGGCTCTTCCCCATGGCCAACTGTGTCTTCGTTTCCAGACAAGGCGACCTTTCCCCTTCATCTAACAAAAGACTGAAGGGCACAGAGACAGTCAGGCAATCAGCAACAGCTTTCCTTGGAGACTGTGGCTGAGGTGAAACATGAAAAGGGCTCCAAATTTGAAGAAATGTCCACTTTTGGGTTGGAATGGTCTGTACCAACAGGTACTCATTCAATAACAGCTTTCAGGTGTAGCTATGATCATTATAACTATATGGATGAAGTGTTTACACTTTGTCAGGCTCATGCGCCTTAATTGGGTCTACTTCCAGTGGGGGGTTAAATGAGAGAACATATGTGATGTGCTTACTTGGCACAGGGCCTGGCAAACGGTAAGTACTGGATAAATGGTGGTGAGTATGGTCACCACTGCATACCAGTCTAAGAACGCAGTGAACAGGTAGGGTGACGGTTTTCTCCCCTCCCTACTCAGAAAGAGCACACTGCTTGAGACCCTTCACAACTTCAAGAAAAGCAGGTGTTCGGGCTCTCCCACAGGCTTACATCATACTTACTCCTTCAGGAGATCCTGAGGTAATGTGCCAAATTGGTTCAAGAAAGATACGAATTCTGAATTTGGTGGCTCAAAAAGTTGTTCTGGGGATGGGGGAGGCACAGTTATCCCTGAAGTGCTCAACTTTGCTTTTCTGTTCTGCTTTCTAGAGAGAACCACAGATGACTGGAAGAGAGACAATGGAAAGAACCCCCTGAAGCACTCTCGTCAGTGCCACCCCTTCCCACACACCTTCCAGCCTCCCAACACAAACCCAGCACATGAAACGCGTTAGCAGACCTGGTCCAGCAGCAACCCCCTCCCCAATCTGCACCTAGGGGTCATCGCATTCTTCCCTCTCTGGCTCCCCAACCCTATTACTGAATTCAGATCATTTGGGGATTCATTGTTTTGTTTGTTTTTCCCCCAAAATGGTTATTCACTTATTCACTGAACAAACCCAACAAATATTTATTGGCAAACTATGTGGAGTAGGGGTGTCGAACTCAATCAGAGAAGGGGCCAAAATCTAAAATCCAGCCTAAATCGCGGGCCGAATGGTTTACTGAACAGTCATAAACTGTCATTGTGATGGAAACGCAGCGGAGTGCAGTGATGACAGCGCGGTGCAGGCCACATTGCAAGGCCTGGCGGGACGGATTTGGCCCGAGGGCCTTGTGTTTGACACATGTGATGTGGAGGCACAGGGCTAGGCCCGGATTCAGCACTGAACAAAATGGACCAAGGCATTATTCTCATGCACATAGCAACCTTCTTGCTCTGTGACTTTTCAAGGCTACCTTCACCTAATAAATGGTAGAATCAGAAGTGCAAACGCAGGCCAAAACCGGTTTGGCTCAATGGATAGAGCGTCAGCCTGTGGACTCAAGGGTCCCGGGTTTGATTCTGGTCAAGGGCATGTACCTTGGTTGCGGGTACATCCCCAGTAGGGGGTGTGCAGGAGGCAGCTGATCGATGTTACTCTCTCATCGAGTTTCTAACTCTCTATCCCTCTCCCTCCTCTCTGTAAAAAATCAATAAAATATTTTTTTTTTTTTAAAGAAGAAGAAGAAGTGCAAGCACAGACCCATTATAATTCCTAGGCCCCGGAATACCCAGCAGTTGCTCCTAACATCTCTTCAAGGTACTCTCCACCTTTCTATGTGGAGGAGGTATGGGAAATGAGTCTCTAAATACAAAAGGACTTGGTAGTTATTTCTTGAGGGTTTCTTCTACAAATTTTTAGTCATTTAAACAGAGAACAAGAGAAGCAAGAAGATATCTGAAAGGAAATGAACTCTACAAAGTAATATCATTAAAGCTTTAGCCAAAACGTCAAGCTTACCACTGTAGATATCTTTCTTTTTTTCTTCTTTCCATCCTGGCCTGGAGCAACATACTGCTTAGCTGGACTTGAAATAAGAATAACCAAAACGTATTTGTAGACATCTTAAACAAGAGCACCAAGGATATTTGTGAATGATGACTATAAAGATTTCTATAGTCTATTCAGTATTCAAAGATGGTCATTAGGAGCCCAGCAACTGCTAAAAAAAATACCTCCATTTAAATTAGGTTCCCCACCATTCTCTCACAATTCAGTTATTTACTTTTACAGCATTAATCCAATTAGCAATTATATGCCTAGAGTTGGTGATGTTTATGTCTGAATGCCCACCCCATAAGACTGCAGAAGGACAGGGAGCAAATCTATCTGGTTCTCCACTAAATTCTCACTGCTCAGGTATTTTTGTTCTGTTGTCTTCCTCTTCCTTTTTACCTGAACCATGGATATAATAACTGGATCCCTAGCCATCACACAGACCTTAAAATCCCCCATGCAGCATCTTAGAAGATGGAAGCCATGGATGAGGATGATGACCCAGAAAACTAGAAGGAACCGGGACTGGTTTGGCTCAGTGGATAGAGCGTCGGCCTGTGGACTGAAGGGTCCCAGGTTCGATTCTGGTCAAGGGCATGTACCTTGGTTGCGGGCACATTCCCAGTGGGGGGTGTGCAAGAGGCAGCTGGTCCATGTTTCTCTCTCATCGACGTTTCTAACTCTCTGTCCCTCTCAATTCCTCTCTGTGTAAAATCAATAAAACATATTTAAAAAAAAAAAAAGAAAGAAAGAAAGAAAGAAAAGAAAAGAAAGCTAGAAGGAACTCTGGTTTCTGATTACCTCGTGGACCTGACATACAAGCCCTGGCCCAACCTACATCTGAGCTTCTTTCATATAAAAGAATTTGAGCCCTTAGGTGTTTTTTGTTTGTTTACACCATATCCTAGTATACACACACAAAGAATGCATATGTAAAGAAGCATTTACAGGATCAATTTTTAAAAAAGAGAAAGAAATTCTTAAGTTTTATCATCTTTAAACAATCACTTAACAAGAATCTGAAAGCCTCAACAGTCACGAAAATAAAACATACTTTCTTCCAAAGATTTCAATATTAGCAAGGCTTCAGGCCTTTGCCAAGTAATCTTTGCCATGCTCAGCTTTGTACACAAGCTTTATGTGCTGGGCCTTGAAATTGAGACCAAAGATTCATGTGCTTCACTGGAAACTTTTTCACTAGTTGCTAATGGCTCTAAGAATAACTAATAATCATAAAGAATTTCTATCTTTTTTTTAATCCTCACCTGACAATATGTTTTTCATTGATTTTGGAGAGGAGGGGAGGAAATGGAAGTGGAGGAGAGGGGATGGAAGGAGAAGAAAAACATTGATGTGAGAGAGAAAAACATTGATGTGATGCCTTTCGTATATGCCTTTCATATGCCCCAACCTGGAATCAAACCTGCAACCTGGGTATGGACCCGGACTGGGAACTGAAACCTTCATCTTTTCGTGTATGGGACCAACTGAGTCACACTGACCAGGTCAAATGTTTTCTTTCTTCTTTCTTTCTTTCTTAATTAATTTTTACAGAGAGGAAGGGAGAGGAATAGAAAGTTAGAAACATCAATGAGAGAGAAACGTTGATCAGCTGCCTCCTGCACACCCCCCACTGGGGATGTGCCCACAACCGAAGCTCTATCCACTGAGCCAAACCGGTTTTGGCAAGTGTTTGTTTCTTAATCAAACCTCACAAATACATTGGATCCTATCTTGTATGCTATTTACTGCCACCTAGAATTTGACGTAGAAAAATCCCAGGACACGAATCTCAAATTGCATTAAAATAGAATTTCAGTGTAGCAAGAGGCAGATGTAAGAGACGATGACCTTCTCTGCTTGGCCTCCTGCTACTTACATGGAGGTTGCTAAAAAGATCACAGAAAGGAGGCCTGCAGAGAACAGTAGGGCTTGGTAGAATACAAGAGTTGAAGACCCCCTAAGTTCTAGAGAACTCACCTCACATTCGCCCCTGATTCTTTTGGGATCCAGACTACAATCATATTGCTAACATCTTGAGGACAAGGAATTTGTGTCTCATTCAAATTTAGCACTGGAAGCTAAGAGAAAAATATAAAGCCTATGTATGGTTTGAATATACCAGCTCCTGATGGCACTCAGGATAAGACCAAGAACTAAATTATCATATTAACCAAAAGAATACAGTGGCTCACAAGATAATAAATACAGTACTCCAATCCCAAAAACATCTTTATAATATTCCAAGAAACCAGGTATCAGTGCAGGTCCTATAAGAGTGCACATTTATAAGTGAACCGTGTCCCCTGCTTCCCTGTGTCATGAGGGTGGCAATTCCCAACCCCATCCCATAGGAGGGTACCTTGGGGCTTACCTAAAGGAACACTACTCATTCTGGCCATTCCACCCCAAAGACTTAGGTCCTCTGGAGATATTATAATACAGTGTGGGAGCAGGGAAGAAACTGACAGGGACAGGGCAAGTTTTATATTTTTAAAGCCTGTCTATTATTATAGGCATCTATATAAAAGTGAAAGTCTTAACTCTTTTCACATTTAGCTACTTAAGATACTAGAACACTGATGATGCTCAAGGAAACCTTGTAAGTCATCTAGTCCATATTCCTAGTACGAAAAAGGGGGTGGTTCAAAGCAAGGTTGTCCCCATGAAAAACAACCGATTGGCTCAGGGGAACAGAGGACACTTCTTTGTACTGTAAACCCTTTCCTGCCCTTTGGATTTAGAACCATATACATGTATTATCTATTCAAACAATTAATTTAAAACTAATTTAATCTAACCCTGTTGTTCTGAAGTGGTCAAAGAGGTAAGTGCTTTGTTCATTCATCCATTCAAACCTATCCTCCCCCCTTAGTTCCTTATATTCTCCACTACTGAAAAGTGAAGTATCTCGCCAGGACTGGTTTGGCTCAGTGGATAGAGCGTCGGACCTTTTAGTCGAAAGGTCCCAGGTTCGATTCCGGTCAAGGGCATGTACCTTGGTTGCGGGCACATCCCCAGTAGAGGATGTGCAAGAGGCAGCTGATCGATGATTCTCTCTCATTGATGTTTCTAACTCTCTGTCCCTCTCTCTTCCTCTCTGTGAAAAATCAATAAAAGTTAAAAAAAAAAAAAAAGTAAAAGAAAAAGAAAAAGAAAAGTGAAGTATCTCATTAAAAACAGGGGGGGCGGGGGCATCAGTAGGACTGCAAAGAATAGCAAATTTCTCTTATTGTAGATAAGTAAAAGGGATTCTCTGCCTAAACTTTAATTTAGTTCTACCTCTACCTAGCTATGTGCTTTAGCAAATCACTTCCTATCTGGGTCTTAGTTTCCTCAACTAAAAAATATATGAGATAGACCATAGTAATATTCTTCAAACTGTAATTGCAACTAATTCATAGGTCATCTAATCAAACTTGAGTGAATTGCAGCCTACATTGTTTAAAGATGAAATAGAATAGGACAAAAAATATCAGAGTACATCACCCTTATCGAGGGTAAGTAAGACTTGTTCCATCATATTTTTGTTGTAAAATGTACTATAGGTCATAGCTAAAAATGTTTGAAAATCATCAGAGTAGATGATTATAAGGCCCAATTTAGGTTTGCCATTCTGGCACCCTAATATCCTTGAATTATGAGATGACAGTGTTTACTTAGTAGCTAAACACATTCTATATAGAACAAAGACAAAATTCTCACCTATGCCAAACTTCACAAATCAAACCCACCTGTCTCTGGAATTTCTGGAAGCAATATAGCATGTGAAGCCATTAGCCCAGAGCCTAGTATATAGTAAGGGCCCAACGTTAGATAGTTATCATGATCATTATTCAGATTGCAGTCATCCCAAGGAACAATGCTAAAGAAGGAAATGTTTTAGGCTCATTAGTGAAGATGCAGAGGAAGTACCTTTTTCAATTTGTGACTTCCTTTGGGAGGTCTATTAGGATAGTTGATCAAATCTTTGTCAGGTAAATCCTTGTGAGGCCTGAAAGTGAGAGTTTATGAACGTGAGACGGAGACACAAAGACTTCTTGGGATGATAAAATTGATACTATGAGGAAAAGCCTTCTACTTTGGTATAGAAAGCCTTGGATTGAATACTTACTGAATGAACGTAGGATCTCACCATCTCCTTAAGTTTTGTTTGTTTTTCCTTGCAGCCACTCCCAAACAGACATTGAACATTACAAACATTTTACAACTATTTGTTGGATCAAACTGAATGCATAGCCTATGCTCCTCTCTCTCCAGCTATAGGTAGTTACTACACCATTAATAAAGTTTATTAGCCGAAACCGGTTTGGCTCAGTGGTAGAGCATCGGTCTGTGGGCTGAAGGGTCCCAGGTTTGATTCTGGTCAAGGGCATGTACATTGGTTGTGGGCACATCCCCAGTGTGGGGGGGGGGGGGGTGCAAGAGGCAGCTGGTCAATGTTTCTCTCTCATCGATGTTTCTAACTCTCTATCCCTCTCCTTTCCTCTCTGTAAAAAATCAATAAAATATTTAAATATATATATTAAAGAATGCTTTGTTTTTGTTTCCCACTGCCTATTTACCACTTCTTTAGCTGAACTGGGGTTGTATTTTAAACCCAGCTTTCTCAAAATCTTCAACAAGGGTAAAGGAAATCAACCAGAAATTTGAGATAGCAAGCTCTTAAAGGTGGACTTCATGATAATTTACCTGCCTTGAAATTTGAAGTCAAACTTTGAACTCTGAGACGATGCATAGTGAGGCTTAGGAAAGGTAAGTCCTCGTAAATGACTGTGAGGACGTCTCCTGGCCTTGAAGCAGGTGTCTGAGAGGTTTACAATGGTGAGCACTGGGAGTTTGTCTGAGAAAACAAGATGAAGACATGTGATATGTTAAAAGAGAGCCAAACAGAAATAGTTCAAAGATCTTGTAAGCGAGGAGACTGGCTGACTAACTCACCGTCAACATCCAGAGAAGTTTTGCAGGACGAGCCCAGGATTCGAGGGTGGCCCCTCTCAATGCGGCGGACAGTAGCCCAGCACTGTGGATGCTGACAAGCCACCAAGTTGCAAGTGGTTTCATCCCACTGGCTCTCCTCTGGCAAGTCCATAGTTATAAATGGCTTGGGATAGAAGTCAACCTTGTAGCTTTCTAGCCCTCTGGAGAAACAACCACATAATTAGTGAGTATTATATACTAACCAGATCTTAATATGGACTCAAAGCATCAAATATTTCTACTGAACTCTTATAGGTAGATGGTGGTCATAGGATAAGACTTGGGTAACAAATAAGTATGAAAAATATATAGTGTGAAGTAAAGTAGCAAGAGTTTGAGAGCAGACTGACTTCAGAAGGTCTCCTAATCTATGCTAATAAAAGGGTAATATGTTAATTAGACCGGGAGACCTTCCAGACATCCTTCGGACAAAGCCATGGTGGTGGGGCCGAGGCAGAAGCGGTTAGGGGCCATCAGGCCAGCAGGGAAGGGCAGTTGGGGACAAGCAGGCTGGTGGGGGGTGAGGGGAGATTTTGGGGGGGAGCAGGCCAGCAGGCAGAGTGGATAGTCACAATAAGGCAGACAGGCAAGTGAGCAGTTAGGAGCCAGGGTTCCCAGATTGCAAGGCAGATGTCCAACTGCCAGTTTAGGCCCGATCCCAAACCAGCATTCGGACATCCCTCGAGGGGTCCCAGATTGAAGAGGGTATAGGCTGAGCTGAGGTAAATGGTAGTCATAGGATAAGACTTAGGTAACAGGCTGCATGCATGAATTTCGTCCACCGGGCCATTAGTTCACTAATAAAGGATTGGTTAATCTGAGCTTCAATTTCTTCACCTGCAAAATGAGGACAAGTAATTACAAAAATTAGTTAATGGATTTTAAAAGGTCTGGCAGAGAGTTCAGCATCCTTCCCTTTTCCCCTTTATTAGTCACTAGGGAAAGATATTGGCTTCTCCAAAAAGCCTTATCAAATTAAAAATGTAGATAAGAAGTGCTTTAGGTGGCTCAAAACTTTGGAAGGCATGCTTCATTTTTCAATTGCCGCCACCGGGGCCAGACTTGCGCCTCCAATTCTCATACAGGCAGCTAAACTATGCAATGAAAAATTAATGGGTTTGCTCAAGCAGCAAATCAGTAAACTTAAACTTGTATCAGGGGCCATTGGCTTTTCATTTACTGTCTCTATGGTCATGGGAAAGTGATTTAACCTCTTTTAGCCTGTTCCTCATATAAAACAGGGGAGAGGAAATCCCTAAGTAGGACTGTAGAAGCATTAAATGAGAAAATGTACTTTAATGTGGTAATATAATAGGTGCTTAATGAATATTATCATCTCTCTCTAGAAATGTCTTATGCAATCACTACCACTTGGTCCATAATAATTTTGTAAGGAGGTACTTTCCTTTACTCAACACATTTATTGACACCCAAATATGTAAGGGAACCTGTTATAAGCATGGAGAACAATAACAAAATAAGTCCCTATTCTAAAAGTCTTTTTAAACCAAAGATAGCAAAATATTAGCCAAAGATTGCACCTGGCCTATAATTTGTTTTGTTTAGCCTGTACTTTGAAATAGTCCATAATGTCCAGACTTCTAGCTCATTTTAGAGATTAAAATATCTGACAATGCGGGCCCAATTCTAACAGGACAGCGATTGACTGAAGCCTAGCATCTCCTGACATCTTTAAGGCAAGTCTGTTCTATCCAAGTGGAGTTTTCCCACCAGACCCTACAGCTTCTCATTGAAGCCATTTCATTTGCCTTTTTAACCTCAAATTGCTGCAGCTTTTCTCATAATAGAGAAATATTTCTCTGTACTCATTATCAAAAGCAGGAAAACCAAAGGGTAACATGAGACGTTTCAAGAAGCATTAGTACTGAGTGGCAGTGAGGATAATCTCTATGAACGTAATATGATACATACCTAAAAAGGTATGGTGATGTTTTTGACTGGGAAAGATGCTCGACGAACAACTTCATGAACTAAAAAGCATACAATTTTAAGAGGGTTTGTTTGTTTTTAATGACAATGTGACATTGCATTATTCTTGCATTAATCTGCGTTCGGAAATTCTCGGTAACAGTTCTCCTTAATATTATTATTACCAAGTTGGGAGGAAGGGGGTGTAATTATTACGGACAGACATCAGCTCCGGTGAGAGTAGAAAAAGGATTCCCCTGACGGCTCTGAAAATCGGAAGTGGGAGGTTCCGGCCATGGGGGGCCCGCAGTTGCGAGCAAAGCAAGCAGATGCTCCGGCCGGGAGGCTGACGCCCTCCGGGAAGACGTAGGCCTGTAAGCCCCTCCCACCAGGCCCCGCCTCCCCGCCTCAGTCGTTCCCCAGGCAACGCGCCACGCCTCGCCGGGCAGCAGCGCACTGCACTATGGGGAAGAAACGGAAGCCCCAAGGAGCCGAACTTAATTTGGCGAGAAAGTTCCGAACATGGCGGTGACGTAAAGCAGACAGATGAGCTTGGGAAAGGACACCGGAGGTCGGTGGGGGCCGAACGGGAGCTAGGAGGGCAGGCACGATAGCGGCGTGGAACTACAGGCGCTCCGGCCACTGGAGGCGGAGGCGGGGCTGGTGGAGGAGGAGGAGAAGGAGGAGGAGAAGGAGGCCGTAGCGCGCGAGGCAGTATGGGACACAACCGGCAACGTGGGGCGGGACGGAAGCCTCCGGGGGTCAGACCCGGGCGACGCGGGAAGTCCAGACGCTGAAGCTGCCTGAAGAGGAGGCCTGAGGCGCAGGTCCGGCCCCGGTGGCGGCAATGGCGGAGAGGCCCGAGGACCTGAACCTGCCCAATGCCGTTATTACCAGGATCATCAAGGAGGCGGTGAGCAGCTAGACTGGCGGGCGGGCCGGGGACGGGCGGGCGGCGGGGGAAGCCGGACCTGAGCCGGCAGCTTGGCTCACGACCCTGCCCTTCCCACAGCTCCCGGACGGAGTGAACATCTCCAAGGAGGCCCGGAGCGCCATCTCCCGCGCCGCCAGCGTCTTCGTGCTGTACGCCACATCCTGGTAAGGCGGGCAGAGCCAGCCGGACTTAGCTGGGACTGTGGCATAAGGGAGGCGCTAAGAGGACCCCTCCGAGTTTGTGGCTGGGAACCCACAAACCCCAGTAACTGTGTCCCTACCTCGTGGAGGAAGGCTCACAACTCTCACCCAATTTTTGCAAATTATGAAACAAATGAAACAGAATAACTTTGCTTTAACCCCTTTTTTACAGGGAAGTGGGACCGGGCGGGGGATAAAGGGGGCTGTTAACCTTATCGCAAAAATCTGTGCATCAAAGATGTGGGCATTCCCATTCCCCTCTGGGTGCTCCTTTTTCCACATCCACAGTCGGCAATGGAGGGTCTGACAGCCTCCAACCCTTCCTCTTTCCATGTTTCAGTGCCAACAACTTCGCGATGAAAGGGAAACGCAAGACACTGAATGCCAGTGATGTGCTCTCGGCCATGGAGGAAATGGAGTTCCAGCGCTTCGTTACCCCGTTAAAGGAAGCTCTGGAAGGTAATGGCCTTTTTGTTTTCTCAGCCAAGTAGGTGCTTGTCCTGTGTGACCCGCTCACCTATATCTTTCTCAGCTTGAGTCCCTTTAAGCCCAGGAGGCAAGTGTGGGATGTGACTGAGAAACAGATCAGTTAGCGCTGCCTGAGGTCTGTTTTGTCATTCCCCACAGCTTACAGCTAATGTTTCCTCTGGGCCCAGCTTTCCCAGCTACATGTTCCCAGTGAAATGAGCTGCCTCCTAACCCCCTCCTTCCTCTTCACAGCGTATCGGAGGGAGCAGAAAGGCAAAAAGGAAGCCTCGGAGCAGAAGAAGAAGGACAAAGACAGAAAAACAGATTCAGAAGAGCAAGACAAGAGTAGAGATGAGGAAATTGATGAAGATGAGGAGAGGCTGGAAGAAGAAGAACAGAATGAAGAGGAGGAAGTGGACAACTGAACGGGGTGAGGAGCCTGGCACCGTGGAAGGTACCGCTCTGAAATGCGTTTATGTGACGCCTTTTCCTACTGGGCAGAGCCTTTGGCAAAAGAGCCAAGAAGATCAAAACTGAAATCTGGCTAGAAGTAGCAAAACCAGCGCTTCCCAGACTCAGAGCATCTGAGCAGCAGAGTCCTGTTTTGCTTAATCAGTCTGAAGGCTATGACTTTTTTTTTTTTTTTGGCAAGAGGGATTCTGAACTGATCATTTAATTAGCCGATATGATCTCATTTACTTGTGTATATGATTAGACAGTTTTTGATTCCCAGTTCCCTCCCACCCTCACCAAAAAATAGTAACTTCATGCCACCTGGGTTCCAGATCACAGGAGGCACCAGGGCTCAGGAAAAATTGGGGCTTAGATCATGGTCAGCTGTTTGTAAAGTGTTTGGCGATACTGGCTCATTACAGTGATCACGGTGGTTTAGTTTTGGGAAACGGCCAAAAGGCTGTGGAAGAACAATGAAATCTGTGGTCCCTTCACTTGACAGTAACATTTATTTTGGTTTCTACCAACTCACTTGGCTTGGGGCCCCCCCAATGTATTGCCTGTCGGCATTTGACCTGTTAGGTGGCTGCACTCTGCACACAGGCTTGTTAAGTCCTCCGTATAGAGGGGACTTAGTCAAGCAACTTTGCCAATGTCTCGCTCTTACCAAACAGATGGTTTAGTCTTCGATGCACCTCACTGTCTGCCACTGCACAACTTTAGAATCTGTTGTCACCTCCTGGGAGGTATAAAATCCCAGCTTTCTCTTCTTGTAGTCCATCTCCCAGGCTTGTGACTATGGCTTTTCGTTCTTCCAATTCACGACAAGTTCCAAACTGTATCCCTTCTAGGCACAACTTTCTCCTGCGCGTCTCACTACCTGCCTCTCCTCTGCTCCCCATCCCATTTTCTCCCTCTTCTCCCTCTGCCAGTCCAGAAACTTGGATAACCTAATCTCATATCTTTGATTTCTCTCTTTTCTTTTGTCTTTATTTTTGTGTGTGTGTTTTCTTTTTTTATCTCATGTCTTTTAAAAATTGTTTTGTAAACCTCTGAAATCTAAAGGAAATCTGATGGTGCTCAGGAATCTAATCCTCTCCCACCCCTGCCTCAGCCTCTCCTTCCTCCCCACCCCCCTCCAGCCTTTTAACTGCTTCTAAAGTTCCTCTGTTGACCTTTCTTAGGTTTGGGGAGTTTTTCTCTTTTCATTTAGTGCTCCAAGCACTTTTTTGCTTGTCTCTAAGGCAGCTGGTAGTGAAGTGTAGTTTGACACTGTTAATTTGTTAAATTAAAACAGTGAAAATTTTGTTGATAAATGAGTAAAGAATGTTGAGAAGATTTAATGCTTTGTACAAATAAAGAACATTCTTGTTAAATGTGATGACTCCTGCTTGTTTGTGGTATGCTTTGGGGGAATACCTCCTGCTAGTGCCTTACACAGGTTTGGGCTGTGAACTGGGCCAGACCTTTGTAAACGGGATGCTTCATTGCCTTGGATGACCAGCAGATGCTGCTCGTTCACAGCCAGGGAGCTGCTCTTCAGCCACCGCAAGAGCTTTCCATGGCTCTGCTGGACCTACACCCTTTTCATCAGTGGTTCCCAACGTGGGGCACAGGCCCCACAGGGGGGCGATCTGATTTTTAAAGGGGGCAATTTGAGAATGAGTTATTTATTAACAGTGACTTTTTGGCATTTCTTATGGTTCTAGGGGCCTCATATACAGTATATAAATATGTATTGTGACATTTATGCATTTCAGTTCTATTTGTTTTGAAACTTTATTTGCTATTTTTTATATCACTTCATGTTACTATTTTATTTTATTTTTTTAATTAACAGTATTTCAACTGTCCTTTCGTTCTTTTATTTTTCTCTTTTACGGATGTCATGTTCTTTGGAAGCTTGTTTAGACCAAGTGAAAGACCTTTTAGGCTTCCTCCACATGAATAGGAGTTCACTTTTTGAATAAGAATTATATGTCACAGGGGGAGGGCATCAGGATTTTAGAGATGTTTAGGTGGGGCATGGCCAAACAAGTTTGGGAACCACTGCTTTATATTGTATAACAGATGCTTGCCAACTCCAAAACCAAAACGTTTGAGTGCTGTGTGTCTGGTGTTGTATTACCTAATCTACATAGCTTTCTCAAATCATGAATTTATAAATAACATTTCACAGAGACAAGTCATTAGACCCAGTGTGTGTGTTTTTTTCCTTCTCCACAGCAGAAATATCATTTATTAATTCCCCTGAGCACCACTTGGCTAAGCCCTCGAGTCCCATCTGGACTCCTGTGACTTCCTGTGAGTTCCGTTTCCTGCCTCCTCTCAGCCTCCCCTAGATTCCCCTGTGTACTGCTTGCCAAGTGGCTCTTCCCAGGACATTGCTATTACAATCGCTTGATGTTTCCTATTAAATCCATACTGAAATGTTATTTCATAGCCTGCTTAAAGAAGGCTCGCCTTACCATCTGTTCTAATCTGCTTCTACTCCAACAGATGGCCGCAATTAAGAATGAATCCCCAAAAGAACCTCACTTCCTCATGGCTTTAGTTCTTACCAAACTTTACCTAAGAAAAGTCATATTTCCTGAGAGTAGGGACTATGACTTAAAACTAGAATGTAAGCACTGGGAAGAATACTTGAGGTAATCTATCAATTTTTCTCATCTCTACATACTAAAAGATGCAGATAAATTTAGAGGTTGATGAATTTTCACAAACTGAATACATCCACGTAATATACTTAGATCAATAAACATGACCAGCACCCTAAAAAATAAGCCCCTTTAGTCTCCCAGTCAATCCTTATCTCCCCAGTAGTAATAGCTATACTGACTTACAACAGTAAGCTCTTCTAGTCAAAAACAAGAGACACATGGGAAAAATAGATTACACTAACAGCAGCATTTTAAAATGTTCACCCTGTTTGGGCTCCCAGAGGTAGATGGTGCTAGCTATTTTTAGTTATCAATAAACTCAGAGATGAAACAGGTGTCATGAAAGAAACGTTGGGCAGGGGAGAGGGGGCAGTCATTATCCCTGTGAGTTGAGTATGTTTAGCAGTCATTGCAAAGTAAGCTGTGTGTGATGGGGCAAATTTTTTAATCCCCCTGGAAACTTCCCAATCTGTAAAATGAGGATAGTAACTGTTTTACATTCAGATAAGTGAATGTCAAATGTATGGTACTGTTTCTGACTCTAATGCACACACACACTACATCCTGTCAGCTGGCCGAAAATGAAGCAGGAGGCTTTGCTAAAATAAATTTTTATTCAAGTGTCTAGGTTTGCAAACCTGAAATACAACTATACGCTATATGAGTTTTGCCCTGGGGCACATACCCAGGTTTCCAGTAAGTCCGGTTGCAAAGGATCTCTCTCTCTTCCTCTTCCCCACCCCCTACAAATCAATTTTAAAAAAAAAAAAAAAAAAAAGCTTGAGTTTTTCAAGTAAAAAGCACATTTTTTAAAGAAGAGTCAGACCTGCATTCTTATCCTCTGTATAGGTCCAAGGTAGTAATCTTCCACATCTGGTTTATTAACTGAGTTGCTCAGATGGTTATCTATGGAGCTCATGTATATCCAGGCATGGATGCGCTACTGAAAAGTTTAAGTTCCTGGGGGAAATAAGAGATCAACCGAAGGACTTGTATACATGCATTTAAGTACAACCAATAGACACAAAACTCTGGGGAGGGAGGGTTTGTATGGGAGGGGGGCGGCAATGTTAAAATATGTACACAGATGATAATTTAATAATAAAAAGAAAGAAAGAAAAGTTTAAGTTCCCAGGCTAGTTAGCAAGAATAGAATCATTTCCTTATGACTCAGCCTACTTGATTTTAAATAATTTAGCAGCTTGACCACACTGATCCCATTTTACTTCTTCACTCTTCCTCATTCCTTTCTACCACCTTCCTTATTTGAACACAAATCAGAACTGTAGTAGCTGGGAACTAAACAATGTCCTATTTTCTTAGCATCAAGCCTCTCTATCTCCTTAGCTTGAAGTATAAAACAGGTTTGGGTTACAGATTATGAGAAACAAATTTTGAGTATAAGTATAGTACAATCCACTGGCATGTTCACGATTCAGTTAGCCTTTCTATAATCCCTGATTCGCCTCTAGAAAAGCATTCCTTTGCAGGGGTATTGGTCCCACAGAGCCTCACTGGATTCCCAGCTCCTGTGCACGCACTGTATCCTAACTCCCCCCCACGCCCCGTTGGACTCATCCTAACGCCTAAAATGCCCATGCCATTCAAACCACATCCCCCAAACCTTGACACAGAGTGGATCCTCGGCAACTACGATGGATTAAATTTTCTCTTAAAACTTGGAAGTCAGCCTGGTGTGAAATTTAAAATAATAATAATAATTATTATTATTATTTTAAAAATTAAAAAATCTTAAAAATGCTCAGTCCGCAAAAAAAAAAATGAACTTAGCAATTGTGTCGGGCATTACGGTGTTGTTTTAACGTCCTTGACGTCCCACTATTTCAACAAATAACTAACCAGCGCCAAGGAGGCTGTACATTGGGAAGACGAGGGCTGTCGAGAGACCCTAGGGGCTGTAAGCGCTTAAGAGAAAGAAAGGTGCACACGCCCAGACCGCGGAGCCTCTCCCGGGCGCCCCGCAGCCTCCCGGTCCCCGCCCCCGGGCTTGGCCCCGCCCCCGGGCCTGGCCCCGCCCCGCCTGGCCCGCGCCTCTCACCCGCCCGGGAGCCTCGGGCCTAGCCAATCGGTCAGCGCTCCCGCCAGGAGCCCCGGGGGTGTGGCGTGCGGGCTGGGGGCGGGGCGTGAGCTGGGCGCTGCTTCCGGGAAGCGGCCCGCCCCCCGTGCACCCGGAGAGACTCGATCGCGTGCGAAGGAGCCGTGGCGGGAGCGCCGACTCGCAGCTCTGAGCGGGCCAGGTAAGTGGGGGCCGGACCCGGGAGGTGGCGGGCTGCAGGCGGGGGCTGTGGCGGCGCGTCCCTGGACCCAGATGGTGCTGCGCGCCCGAAGCCGGGGGCCCGTCCTTTGGGGCCGGTGTTTGGGCTCTTAGGGGGAGATGGCCCTGTTTGCAGCCGGGGTAGGGGTCTCCGCGGGACCCTGGCCGAGGGGGTTTACTGCCTTAGACACCGCTGGGGCTGGCTCTGTAAGTGCAGAGCGCGAGGTACGTCGCCGATGGGGTAGGATGGTGGCTGTGTATCAGCCGGTTCGTGCTAGACTGATAAGTCCGTGCATTGGCCCATTGAGTCTTTACACAGCCCAAAGAGGGCGATTTAAGCCCTCGTTTACCAGAGAGGCCAACTAAAGTCACACAGCTGGAGAGTGACCGCTAGAACAGACTCCAAAATCCACACACTTTATTATCATGCTGCCAGCTGCATCCAGGTCCAGAGTCACCGGTCTGCTGGCTTCCCTCTCCCACCCCGTTCACCCAGAGTTCTCCACAGCTCAACTCTGCTGTGGGCTTTGAAATCTGTACTTAAAGTGTCAAGGGGTAATTAATAGTGGGCATTGGAAACCCGGCTGCTGGAGACCTGAATTCTAGCCCTAAATTTGCCACTGGGACCCCCCTGCATGATTTTGGGCCTGTGTCTGTCCTTCCTAGAACCCAGATTCACAAGCTTTAAGGATCCTCCTAGCCAAGATGTCTTGATGTCCTAGGAGTCTGTGGACCTGGCTAGTGCTCCTCATAGCTCCCAATGGCTCAGCCCAGAGGAAACCGCTCTTCAAAGCTCTAGGTCAGGGCCCAGGTCTCATTCTTCTCTTTAATTCCTGTGTGTAGCCCTGGGACAGGCCTAGAGTAGATACTCAGGAAATGTGAGTTGAATAAACAGTTCAGTCCCTTGTCAGAACTGACTAACAAGCTGCTGTCCTGGGCCCCTCAGGGGCTTTTTATTTTTCAGCCCTGGCCACCTTCTACCTAGCTGGCCCTCCTGACTGCCTCCCCCTCCCCCCAGCTGGTGGCAGAGCCTGCTAGAGCTGGCAGCAGCTCCCAGCCCTCGGGGCCAAGATCATAACCTCTGGAATCCTCACTGAGCACAACATGGGGGGCAGCTCTTTCTCAGTCCCCCCTGGTAGCAGCTCTCAGGGCCCAACTTATCTGACTCCCAGGTTGGGAAAGCTGACTTCTAAGAAAGGAGATCTGCCTTTACAACCAGTTTGAAAAGCTGCTTATTCCTCAATGTCCCCTCTTCCCTGAAGCCATCCTTGGCTCCCAGAGAACACAGATCTCTCACAGCACCTGGTCCACCCCTCTGTTGTAGCATCTGTGTGGTGATTATTTCTCCTCTTCCCCCCTCCCCATACATTGCTGGAAGGAGGCGATCCCACCCCCACCTCCACCCCCACCTGGGATGTCTTGGGAGACCTTGGAGCCCACACAGTTTGAATGAAAGCTCTCCCTTCTGGGCGTGTGCAGAAGGCAGATGTGCAGATGGGGTGGCATGCCTGGAGATCTAGTTCCAGATCAGTTCTGTTCCTGATATAAAAGTACTAGCTCCGTGTTTACTGTGAGACTAAGCACATATCTCTCATCTCTGGGGCTTTGCCAGTTTGATTAACTCCCATTTTAAGGAATCTGAAAGGCTAGCAACCTTTCAGAGTCACACATTGCGCACAGACCCCACCTGGGGCTCTTGGACCCTGAAATGTAGATTTTTTGTTTTTTTTTTTCTGGATCACCCTATACTGCCTTCCAGTTAAAGCTAACCTGTCCTGATGTGGCTGAGCATAGGTGCTGGGTCGGATGCTGAATTTCTCTTGACTTCAGTGAAGCGGGACGGGATCAAAGCAATGACTTGCAAGCTCCCTCGATTTGAAAAAAGTGCCCTCCCACGTGTATGAAAATCTCCCAAACCTCAGCCTGGCTTTTGCTCTGCAAACAGAGATGCAACTCTGTTGCCCAGGGGTGTTTTTCTACCCCACAGATATTGATTCGTCACCTGTTGTGACAGAATGACCATGTGTGGTGTGCAGGGTATGGCACTGGACTAGTAGCCAGGAGATCCCGTGCTCAAGCCCAGCCCTGTACCTGACTCTCTGTGATGTCAGACAGGTCCTGGTGCCTCTCTGTATGCAATTTCCACATCAGAATATAAGCGATAAACAGGATTGGTGATGTTCAACTCAATTTCTTTATTACTGATAACCATTTCTCAGATCAAATCTCTCTGAACCCTAACATTAAAATGCAACAAACAACACGAAACAACACGCGTATATTAAAGTGGAACTGCCCTAGGAAGGCCTCTCCCTCGCCACTCTCACCCTCCCTTGTCCCCCACCTGCAAAGCTCCTAGGCAGCCCTGCCCTGTTGCTTCTGATAAACAGAAGGCATTCATCTGCTCCCTCCACCTGCTAAAGTGGAAGCGAGAATGCAGCCAGTGGAATGCAGCTTTGGGTTCCAGAAGCTGGGAGCCTGTCACAAAGGTCGCTGCTATCTGAGACGTGTGCAGACCCAGCTTCAAAATCTGATTTAACTCCAGAGTGACATTGAGCAAGTTACTTAACCTCTGGGAGCCTCCATTCCCTTATCTCTAAAAGGACAATTCTTGTTTCCTTGTTCTCTCAGCTCTCCAGCCACCAAAGCAAAGCAAAGATAGTCAAGGCCGAGAGGTGCCTGCTAAGTCTAGTGTTTACCAGAACGAGCAGATAAAACCCAGCACTCATCACCTAGAACAAATTCAAATTCTGCCTGTTACTAACTAGCTGTGAAGTCTTGGGCAAGTGACAACCTCTGAGCTAGGCGAAGACCTGGGAGCAAAATCTTTTTCTTTTTAATATGTTTTATTGATTTTATAGTGAGAGGAAGGGGAGAGGGAGATAGAAACAGCAATGAGAGAGAATCATTGATAGGCTGCCTCCTGCACGCCCCGCACTGGGAATCAAACCTTTGACTTCTTGGTACACAGGACCAACTGAGCCACACTGGCCGGGCTGAGAGCAGAATCTTGCACAAAAGGGCACTCGGGACTTTGTAACCGCGGAATGATTGCTCATTTGGGAGTTGGGACATTTTGGGGAGGCCTGGCCTGCTCCTGTGTCAGGTGATATGGCTGGCTCAGTGGTCGGGTGGTAGGGTGGGGCCCTGTGTGGCTCCTGATAACCCCAACCCTGACAGGAAGGTGGGTCAGATAAAAAGAGGCCTAGGCGACTGGGGAGAGAGGCATCATCTGCGTACTAAGGGACTCCCCCGGCCAAGGGAATGTGTAACCTCCGATAAGTCCCTGCCTTTGAGCCTGGAGATCCCATTCACACCAGGAGAGATGAGTGGCTCTTGATTTTTTTTTTTTCCCTTCCCTATTTGGCTACTGAGTGACCCCACGGGCACCTTGTCTGAAGGTGGAGTGGAAGTATATCACCACCAATCAGTAAAGGTGCCTTCAGGCCGACAAAAAGCAGGCAAGTTCATTGACTGTAACAGAATTTATGATGGGGTCATTTACTTATTGTAGTTTGGATCAGAACCGAAGAGACAACCCATCTGACTCTGCAGATTATTAGCTAGACTAATAAACCTTTTGTAGTATAGCTGAACTAATGATTGACAAGACTAAGGGACAAAGAATGCATTGAGCCAGGTCTTACAATGGTTAATGGCTTAGAATTAATGCCAACACCTAGTTTGATATTTATCTTGTTTGCTGTGCCATTCTGATCACTTACTGATAGGAATCTATGGTTACCCTATGTGAACTTATAGGACACAGCTAATCATTCACTGTGAGGCTTTGGTGCTGGCTGAGACTGGTTAGGTCAGAGTTCTAGGCATGGAAAAACAAAAGCAGGGGTGCAAAGATGGAGTCACTTTTGTTCACATCAACATCTGTACACACCTCCAAAAGAAAGTGTCTAACACGGAATGCTTCCTTCTCCACCCCTCTGGCTCCACATCCTCTGTGCTCCTCTGCTTCCAATCTGCTGTGCTCAGGCTGTAAGATTTTCTTCCTAAAGCCAGGCTCTGACCAGGCCGCCCCCATCAAAAGCCTTCCTGTCCCCAATCTGACCCATTTCCTTCCCCTCCCCTCCCCTCCCCTCCCCTTCCCTCCCTTCCCCCCTTACACACATGGTACCATTGATTGCCTCCTTTGGTCCTAAGAACAGTCCTTAGCCATCCCTTCTTCCCTACCTTTACTCCTTTCTTCTCTTACTGGGGGATTTTTTTCCTCTTTTCCTCTGACTAGCTGAATCCACTCCTGCAAAACCAGTTCAAGTCCTCATCGTCTTTCAACAAGCGCCTTCTGACCTCCAAACTCACATTGGATCTCATAGTTCTTTTAGGGAGGTTCCACCTCTCCGAGATGCATTCAGTCGGCCCTACCTCCCAGGACTGTAGTGCCAACTTAATGAGAAATCATGTGTGCAAGTGCCCAGGGTGGTCTGGCACACAATAGGTGCTCAAGAAACCAATGACACTGCCCCCCAGCATCCTTCTATCTTGCATCCTTTACTTAGCATTTAGGACACATTGTCTGGTATTTCATGTAATACTTACTATGTGGTGGAGTGTGTGGGGAAGAAGAAAAAAAATAAACTTACTATAAACCCGCAGAAGATCTGTCTACTGGGACAAGTTAAGAAATAGTCACAAAGACCTGTTATATAAGAGAGAGTGTGACCTGGGCAAAAGAGAGGCTTTAGTGGGAGAGGGGAGGAAGGAGTGCCTGTGGACAGCCAGGTAGGATTTGGGGCTGGAGGAGTGGCAAGAGCACAAGCTTCTAGATAAAGGGAACAGGGTGAGCAGAGCTAGGAACTGGCCAAGTGTGCTTGTGCTTGGGGAGTAGCAGGAAGTTTGAGGGCTAGGAAAGACGGCGTCAATGGCCATTCTACACGGGGAGTGTGTGTGTGTGTGTGTGTGTGTGTGTGTGTTGGGGACTGCTATTTAATCCTCTTAGTGTGTGTCCTGCTTGACAAGTCCATGTATGAAAGGTAGAATTACAGGAAGTTTTTTACATGAGTTTATCTAAAATTTCTGCCAAGTACATGGACATTTTTCATGGAATAAACAAAGTATAAATGTTGGCTAGATCAGTGTTCCTCATACTAATTTATATCTGGCACAGATTGATTTTTTGATAAAATAAAAATGAATTACTAGAAAAATATTATTTAAAAAGAAAAAGAGAAGCCATATAAGTATGAGCCCAAATTTTATATTATTGGGTTCAAATTTCGATGAAAGTTCCTTAAGGCCTATTTTCTTTTCTTTTTTTTTCCCCTCTAAAATAAGTGTTCAATTACTAGTGTTATTTAAATATAGTTGGTATACAAATTAGTTTCAGGCATGCAATATTAAGGCCTACTTTCATTTCTCTACTCATCTTATAGACCAGCAAGGTCTGGTAAACCACACACAGAGGAACACTGAGGTAGACAGCAGGAGATCCAGGAATCCAGGGGGTATATGACCACCTCCTGGGGACAGGGACCATGTCTAACATTCCACATTCCTCCTGTTGCCCCCACGTAGCTGAACACCCAGAAGATACCCCAGGAGCCCTCAGTTCCAACCAGCTGGCTACCCTATACCTGACTGCTCACCATGCAGCCTCAGTCTGTTCTCCACAGCGGCTACTTCCACCCGCTGCTTCGGACCTGGCAGGCAGCCGCCACCACGCTCAATGCCTCCAACTTCATCTACCCCATCTTTGTCACGTGAGTCCCCTGAATGAGCCCGGTCTCTGATCCGCAGGGTGTGGGCGGGTGGGTATATCTGTGGCCAGAGCAAGCATCTGTTTGTGAGTGATAAAGTGAGCTGTCAGCTTGGAGTTCAAGGTATGGGTTAAAGACAGCAGCTGTCTTAAGAATGAAACAAACCTTGAGAAGAATTTAATCTTCCTATATGGAAAATAAGAATAACTCATCTGCCATCCTGAGCTTTTGCAGTATGACAGAAGCTGAGAAATAATTCTGTAGATTGTAAAGTGCTATGTACATGTAAGAGGTGGTAGTCAGGGTTATTAATAACTAGAGTCCTGGTGCATAACATTCATGCACAGGGGAGGGCGGCTGAGGTCCCTCAGCCTGGCCTGCACCCTTTTGCAGTCCGGAAGCCCTGGGGAAATGTCCTGGCTCATGTGAGGAGCAGACCTAAGCTGGCAGTTGAACATCCTTAGTGCTGCCTTCTGGCTGAGCAGCACTCCTCCTGGTGGTCAGTGCGCATCATAGCGACTAGTCGTTCCGCTGTTTGGTCGATTTGCATATTACCCTTTTATTATATAGAATAGCAGCAGCTGACATTTATTTAAGACTCACTGTGTACCAGGTACTATGCTAAGCATCTACATCTGTTATCTTTCCATCTTGACTGCATCCATATAAGTAAAGTATGAATATTATCCCCTAGATCAAGGGTAGGGTGGGGGACATCCAGCCTATGGGCCTATAAGGCCCACGAAATCATTTGATCTGGCCCTGCCAGGGCATTAGGGGTAAGTTAATTAAATGTCTAACCAAATATAGCAGGCTAATTTTTAAGTTGATAATTTTTTATGGCCTGCAAAAGATGTTATAAATACCCCCATGGCCCTTGGCAGAAAAAAGGTTCCCACTCCCACCCTCGATTGTTTTCTCCATGAGGGCAGGGATTTTTGTCTGTTTTGTTGACTGTTATACTGCCCGAGCCTAGAACAGTACCTGGCACATAGTAAGTGCTCAATAATATTTGTTGTATGAATGAATGAATGAATGAATGAATGAATGAATCCACCCAGGATATAAAAAAAGGGCCTAAGGCTCAAAGAGATGGTACAACTTGGCCAAAGGTCACCCAGTCAGTATTAGTAAGTGACTGTGATAGTAAGTGAGGACCTTCTGACTTCAGAGTCCACGTTCTTAGCCACTTGAGTGCTTCCTATGATTGCTCGTCTTTTGCTGTCACTGTTATTCTTGTTGTTCCTATTATTATTTCAGGCCCTGGGCTTGGCCAGGCAAGGGGAACCAGACACTGGACCCTATCCTCCTCCCAACATCTCCACTTCCATATTCCTTCCCGGCTCCCCTACCATCCCCCCTAGTTACCCCTTCACCACTGGCCCTTTCCACAGCCACCAATCCATAGCCCACCCCCACTCTTGCAGGGATGTTCCTGATGATGTACAGCCTGTTGCCAGCCTTCCGGGAGTAGCCAGGTAGGAGACGTATGTGGTGGGGAGGGCAGGGGGATGGTGGAGGGAGAGATTTTACAGGTGGAGGTGCCAGGAAGCAGAAGCAGACCCAGGAGGTAGAAGATCCGGAGAGTCTAACTTCAGCTGAGTAGAGAGAAGGGTTTGTCAGGGTCAAAGTTATTCCACAACAGAAGAGGCAGCCATCACCAGAGGCATCATAGCAGAGTCTTGGAGAGGAGAGCTTACCTTCAAATGGGAGTTCAATAAAAGAACCTGGGAGGGGCCTTTTGCAGCTGAGTCCCATAGTCTGCCACTTGGTGCCTCAGCTTACCCATCTGTTTGTTGGGTACGTTCCTGCCCCCACCCCCTATACTATGGGGCTTGAGCCCTCCTGGTACCAAGTGCCACTTGGCTCTTCACAGAGGCACAGGGCGGCAGGGTGGGGAGGACCTTGCCAGGGGCCCGCCTCACTGCAGCCGCTCCTCGCAGGTATGGTGTGAACCGGCTGGAAGAGATGCTGAGGCCCCTGGTGGAAGAGGGCCTGCGCTGCGTCCTGGTCTTTGGTGTCCCCAGTAGAGTTCCCAAGGTGAGCAGTCGGGGGAGGAAGTAGAGGGGAGGTTGGGTGAAGGGGAGCTGAGGTTCCACCCTGACCACACCCTCACTTAGGCCTTGTGCTGGCCCTGGGGCCACAGGCGAATGGACGTGGCACCTGTTATTAAGACAGCACCCATGTAAGGTCAGGAGGCTAAGTAGGACTGTGACACCCTGACCGGGCAAGTCAAGTCCCCTCTGCAAAATGGGGGGAGTCCTCACTGTGCCTCCTCGTCCAGAGGCTGAGATGGTGATCAAAGAAGAGGGTTATGCCAAAACCGGTTTGGCCTCAGTGGATAGAGCATCGGCCTGCAAACTGAAAGGTCCCAGGTTCGATTCCCGTCAAGGGCATGTACCTTGGTTGCGGGCACATCCCCAGTAGAGGGTGTGCAGGAGGCAGCAGATCGATGCTTCTCTCTCATCGATGTTTCTAGCTCTCTATCCCTCCCTCTTCCTCTCTGTAAAAAGTCAATAAAATATATATATATATATATATATATATATATATATATATATTTTATTTTTTTTTTAATTTTTTTTTAAGGAGAGGGTGGGGGCTGCACTCTGTGAGGGCCATTGTGCCTCCCAGAGGCTCCGTGTGACAGCCACGCTGCTTTGTCCTTTCCCTATCGCTAGGATGAGCGGGGCTCTGCAGCGGACGCGGAGGACTCCCCGACCGTCGAGGCCGTTCGTCTGCTGCGCAAGACCTTCCCCAGCCTGCTGGTGGCCTGCGACGTCTGCCTGTGCCCCTACACCTCCCACGGCCACTGTGGTGAGTTCCCTCCTTCCACCAGCCCCGCTGCCGCCTGCACTGCCCCTGCCCCGTTCTCCCCACAGTGCGACAGGCCAGGTGCTCCCTAAAACCCAGCTGTCTGACGTGCAGGGCTTCTGAGTGAGAATGGGGCTTTCCAGGCCAAGGAGAGCCGCCAGCGGCTGGCAGAGGTGGCTCTGGCCTATGCCAAGGCAGGTGAGTAAGCCACCGGCAGGGGAGACCCTCGGGGTCAGGGAGGTGGCAGAGTAGGCGGGGCGGGTCCCAGAGCTCTGAAGGCCGTCCTCTGTCCCTCAGGATGTCAGGTGGTAGCCCCGTCGGACATGATGGATGGACGCGTGGAAGCCATCAAGGAGGCTCTGATGGCACATGGATTTGGCAACAGGGTAGGGGCAGGGAGGCTGGGGGAGGGGTGTGGGGAGGTGAGGAGGGAGCCCTGCCCCACACCTGCCAAGAATCACAGAACTGCCGAAACCGGTTTGGCTCAATGGATAGAGCGTCGGCTTGGGGACTGAAAGGACCTGGATTCGATTCCGGTCAAGGGCATGTACCTTGGTTGCGGGCATATCCCCAGTGGGGGGTGTGCAAGAGGCAGCTGATAGATGACTCTCTCTCATCGATGTTTCTGGCTCTCTATCTCTCTCCCTTCCTCTCTGTATAAAATCAATAAAATATATTAAAAAAAAAAAAAAAAAAAAAAAGAATCACAGAACTGAAGACACACTGCACAAGGTCTTTGGATTGTCTCAACCTCTGCCCCTGAGTTAGGGAAATCGGGGCCCAGGGCTCCAGTGGGACTAGGACGCAGGCGCTCTGCTTCCCAGCCGAGGTCCCTTTCCTGCACGCGACCCGGGGACACCGGGAAAGGGCTGACTGAGCTCAATCCCCACGTCCCCTCCGCAGGTATCAGTGATGAGCTACAGTGCCAAATTCGCTTCCTGCTTCTATGGCCCTTTCCGGTGAGTAGGCATGGGCTGGGGTCTGCTGATAAAGCCCCGACCCCTTAGCGCACAGCGGGAGCCCTCCCTGACGTTTCTGCTTCCCAGGGACGCGGCCCAGTCAAGCCCAGCTTTTGGAGACCGCCGCTGCTACCAGCTGCCACCGGGAGCGCGAGGCCTGGCGCTCCGGGCAGTGGTGAGTGACCAGAGCCTGCGCCCCAGCCAGCCAGCCTGCCCCCTTCTCCCCTCGCATCCCAGGCACTGCCCACACCCTGCCTCATCCCTTAGGACCGGGATGTCCGGGAAGGAGCCGACATGGTCATGGTGAAGCCGGGAATGCCCTACCTGGATATTGTGCGGGAGGTGAAGAACAAGGTGAGCACGGAGCAGAGGCAAGAGTGGCTCAGGGACATGAGAGAGCGTGTCCACGGGCTCTGGGACCTTAGACTGATGGGCTGCAGAATCTCAGAGTTGGAAGCCATCTGCCCCTGAACAGGAATCCTCCCCTCCCTGCCCCTGCCCAGGCGCCGCCAGTGGGCACCGGCCTTTGAACAGCTCTGCTCTAACAGTTTAAGATTGGATCCGCAACAGCACTTCAGGCCATGGGGCTCAAGGTGGTCCAAGGTTGGGCAGGGAACGTGGGACACTCCCAGGAGTTACACCCACCATCCACTTCTGCCTACTGCCGCTTCTCCGCAGCACCCAGAGCTCCCCCTCGCCGTGTACCACGTTTCTGGAGAGTTCGCTATGCTGTGGCACGCAGCCCAGGCAGGAGCGTTTGATCTCAAGGCCGCTGTTCTGGAGGTCATGACTGCCTTCCGCAGAGCTGGTAAGCTGGCAGGGGCGGGGCTTTTGACCTGTGACACACAGACCAATAGGCAGTTTGCCCAGAAATGGAAATGAAGTCCTGAAACAGCCTGGAGTCTTAGACCCAGAGGTAACAGTGATCAAAACAGACACAGCCTGAGAGGAGAAGACATGGCTGTAGAACAGAACATGGAACAGTGAGGAAAGCAGAGAGCTCTCCGTTATTTTTGGTTGTGAGACCGTGGTCTTGCCACTTCCCTGAACCTCAGTGTCCTGTCCATAGTAGAGATAAGATACCTGGTAGGTGGCTGTCATGTGGGTTAAATGAGATGATCGGTGTAATTGGCGTAAATGGGAGCTGGTTTTATTGGTATGGCACACCGTGTGGGAAGGGATCTTACAGCTTATCTGCTTCCCCACTGTGCATTTTATCCATTGGCAAATTAAGGTCTAGAAAGAGAAAATGACTTGTCCACAATCACACAATACAGAGAGCTAGAATTGACTAGCACCGGGCTCAGTCTTAATGTTGTGAAACCCACTAACTGTGACTCTCCATGGTAGCCTTCTTCCCCGCTGGCCCTCATTTCCCAGCAGGTATGCCCAGAGCTGATGCCCCACCCCTCCCCTGTTCCCTGTTTCTCTCCCACCAAGGTGCCGACATCATCATCACCTACTACACACCTCAGCTGTTGCAGTGGCTGAAGGCGTGATGGAGAGAGTGTGCACGACCCAAGAGCTAGAACTTGACAGAGGCCCCGGGGCCTCGGAGAAGTGAAAACCAAAGTCAATGCTGCTTTCAGAACTGTGCCCTTGTGCCCTTTTCCTGCCAAATCTTACCGCTGTCAGCCACATCGTCATGGGCTCCACCGAGCTTCTCCCCCACCCGTGTCAGCCCTGAGGCCACCGCGGCCGCTCTAGCTCCTTCCTCTGGTGTCGCTTCCGTTTGAAAGGGAGAGGCGTTTGGAGCACTAGGGGAAGAGGAAGACAGTTGGATCATGGATCCTCAGAAGCTGTGGAAAGACCAAGGCCTCTGGCAGCATGCCACATGTGCTGGACCTTGGGCCTGAGGCCTAGATTGACATTCCTGAGTTCAGTTCCACAGGAAGGCGATTCCCACGCAGACCAGTGACTGCCCAGGCTGCCTGCCATCTGCTGTACTCTGAGCCATAAACCCCCGACAAGAATTACTCATTAACGAGCAGAAGCATTGCCAGGGGATCAAAATTCAGAAGCAAAGAGAAAGTTCCTGATGGTTGGAGATGCCGCCATCGAAAAGGCTTTTTATTAAAGAGATATTTTTTGAGAGTGTGTTTTCTGCGCCCAGACACTGTGCTGGGTACTGAGGATCTAACCAGACAGCCCTCAGCTTGTCTCTCTGCATGGAAACTACCCCAAGAGAATGGGAGAGATGGGCCACAAGAAAACAAATAAAGCAGTTACAAATTCTAACGTGCTTGGAAGAAAATAAAGGGTTCCAGACAGAGAATAACAGATGGGGGAGGGGGACCTCCCCGAGGTCAAGGGAAAGGAAGGGTCCTTACCGAGCAGAGGGAAGCACACCAGAAGCTGTGAGGGTAACACCAAGTGTGCCAAGACCCTGCAGTGAGGAGCGTGCAGGAAGCAGCTGATCAAAGTTTCTGATTTTCTATCCGTCTCCCTTCCTCTCTGTAAAATAATCAATAGAATATTAAAGGGGGGGTAGGGGTGCAGTTAAGTTACTGCAGAGGACTCTGTCCTCAGCAAATTGTCTTGAGTTAAATAAGTTTCCAACTGAAAGCAGTTTCTTCCTGGTGGCGACAGGGGACCAGACCAGAGGAGCTTTGCCTTGCCCAAGTCCACATGGCACTCAGTAAGCGTGGGGCCCAAGCCCCTCTGCCCAACTCAGCAGAGCCCCTCCTAGGAGTGTCCCAACCCGTGGAAGACGGAGGGGCTGGAAGGAGGGGGGGGGGGGGCCGGAGAGAGGAAAAGAGGCAGACGGTGCGGAGGGACACGCAGAGGCTGGGAGGGTGCAAGGTGACGGTAAGACGCGGGTTGGGGACTCCAGGGCTTAGCATGAGGATCCGAGAGAGTGGGAGGGCCTTTCCTGGAGGCGGAGAAGGAGCCTAGGATCACGGAGGGGGTGGAGGGCAGGAAGGGGCGGGGCGAGGAGGCGGCGGAGCACCGGGCTGAGCTCGGCGCCTCGCACGCCGGCTGCTGCGGCCTCCTTCGGGCCCGCTGCCCGGGAGCAGGTGAGTGAGGCTGAGCCCGGGGCCGCGCTCTGCCGCCGGAGCGGAGGAGGGCCCAGGCGGCCGGACAGCCCGGCCTGCGGCCCTAAGACCTCCCGCCCGGTCACGCCGCGGACGGCGGCTCGGAGGTTTCGCCCTAACGGCTGGCAGCCTGTGATCGGCCAGCACCGGGCCGTGTGGGGAGGAGGGGTGAGCAGCTCGTGCCTGGGGCTCGGGAGCCGGAGCCTGTGTCCCTGCGTGACTTCGGGCGAGTTCCGCCCCGCGCCGGGCCTGCGTCTCCCTACCCGCAAAGCGAGGGTGGGTGGGTGTTCGGTGGGTCCCCCTGAGTTCCAAACAGACTTAAACTCATTTCCTCTAAGACCTGTCCTAGGTGCACCAGCCGCGTCCCTTCCTCGGCAAACACGTGGCTGGCTGCACTCTGGATTCTGGACCCTTAGATTTCCTGCAGGAACCCCGAATCAGCTCTGGGGAAAGAAGCTGCAGCCAGCTGTGGACGGCAGGCAGAGGCGTCTGTTTCCTGTGCATTAAGGCAGGGGTTCTTTCACTGCTGTCCACCCAGGCAGGTGGTATTACCTCCATTAGAGATGAAGCCTGTGTGGCTCAGTGGTTGAGCATCATCCTATGAACCTGGAGGTCACAGGGCACAGGCCCGCATTGCTGGCTCAATCCCCAGTAGGGCCCGTGCAGAGGCAGCCCATTGATGTTTCTCTCATTGATGTTTCTTTCCCTCTCACTTCCTCTCTCAAGTCAATAAAAACATATTTAAAAAAAATGACGAAGCTGGGGCTCAGAGAGGTTTAAAGGCAGGTAGGACCAGGCAGCTCTGGTCTGTGCTATGCAGGTTTGCCAAAAAGTTTTGTTGTTGTTGTTGTTGTTGTTGTTGTTTTAATTCATTATGTCTAAGCAGGGAAAGGAAGCACTGGCCAAAGAGTCTGGAATTTTGGGTTCTAGTCCTGGCTGTGCTTCTGACTCACTGTGATCATGAGTAAATATCTGCCCCTCTCTGGCTCAGTCTTCCCTGCTGAACAGCCAAGGGTTTGGTCAGATGGTCCACAAGGACCCTTCTGTCTTTGGAATTGCTAACAATAGGAATAGCAATCATAATTGTTTCCTTATCTTGACCTACAGCCCTGCCTGAGCTGGCCCCTATCCATCCCAAGCACCAGACTCCTTGCCCTGCCTCAGGACCTTTGCACTTGCTGTTTTCAGTGCTAGGAACACTTAACCACCTCTCTTTCCTGCATAGTCATTCTTCAGATCCCCCACTGAAACTTCACTTGCCTAGAAGGTTCCCTGACAAAGACCAGATAAGGTCCTTGGGTTTATAACTTTATGGTTCATGCTGCATTCGTTAAGCCTAAGTGTTTGTGTAGCTCTTTGTCTAATATCTGTATCCCCTATTATTTAATGCTGTAAATGCCATGAGAACCCTGTCCTGTTCCCAGCTTCTAGCACATAATCAATGTTCAGAAGTTTGTTGTGCAACGAACAGATAATCTCATTTAGTCCAATAATCTTGTGAGGTTGGGTCCTTGTGTTCTTACCCAGGAGGAGATAGGGCTTCAAAGAGTGAGACTCCCAGGGCCTCCTCCCACTGAGCTGGCAGCACCAGAAATTGAATCCAGTCTAAAACCTGAACTCCCACTTTACTTGCCCTCTCCTTCCAGGATCTTCTGCTGTGAAGACATTACCCAAGTACCAGAAAGTCTGACCCACGAAGCCTAGAGAGAGACAACCACTAGGTTGTGGAAGTGTGAGGTCCAGCTCGGTTTCCCCTTGGCCCTTGGAGCTTCAGGTGGATCTGGAGCAGACGTGGCCCCTCCTGCAGACCCATGACTCACCAGCTACAGATACGACTGCTGACGTGGGACGTGAAGGACACGCTGTTGAGGCTCCGCCGGCCTGTGGGGGAGCAATATGCCTCCAGCGCTCGGGCCCACGGGCTGAAGGTGGAGGCCCCAGCCCTGGAACAAGCCTTCCGGCAGGTGTACAAGGCTCAGAGCCGCAGCTTCCCCAACTATGGCTTCAGCCAGGGCCTCACCTGCCGCCAGTGGTGGCAGGATGTGGTCCTGCAGACCTTCCACCTGGCGGGGGCTCGGGACGCCCAGGCTGTGGCCCCCATCGCTGAGCAGCTGTACAAAGACTTCAGCAGCCCCGGTTACTGGCAGCTGTTGGAGGGAGCTGAGGACACCCTGAGGGGGTGCCGAGAGCGAGGTCTGAGGCTGGCAGTGATCTCCAACTTTGACGAGCGACTAGAGGGTATCCTGAAGGGTCTCGGTTTGCGGGAACATTTTGACTTTGTGCTGACCTCTGGGGCTACTGGCTGGTGCAAGCCGGACCCCCGCATTTTCCATGAGGCCTTGCAGCTCGCTCATGTAGAACCAGCAGTGGCAGCCCATATCGGGGACAGTTATCACCATGATTATAAGGGGGCACGGGCTGCAGGCATGCACAGCTTTCTAGTAGTTGGCCCAGGGCCTTTGGACCATGAGGTCAAAGATTCTGTACCCCAAGAACATATCCTCCCCTCACTGCCCCACCTCCTGCCTGCCCTTAACCGCCTGGAGCACTCAACCAGAGGGCTGTGAGTCTGGTGAGGGAAGTGGCTGGGCCCAACAAACATTACAGACAGGAAGTCCTTTCCTTCCCAAGATCTGACCTTTACCCCTTCCCTGCAGACGCCATAATGCATTCTGACTATAAAGCAATGAGTGAGGCTTTTAGCCCTGCCCACTAATCAGCTCCTGGTCTCTGAGATGGTTCATTCATCACACCTATGTCCCTTTTCCACAAACCTGCCTCACCTCCAACAAGATTCACCAAGGGCCCAGCCAGCTTCAAAATCAGGTATCTTGAAACTTGGTTTTAGCAGCAGAGTCCTTTTGTCGTGGGGGATCTTATGTGGAACCCCAATGTGCAAAACGGAAAAAAAAAAAGGAGACACTGCAAGGGTGAAGTGAAGGTCCTAGGACCCCTCATTCAGGCCCTGAAGCCTCTACAACTTCCCCCACCTGCAAAGTCTAAGGTCAGAGAAGCTTACTTTGAAAATCAGGGTGCTAAGCTGTGCTTAAGGACATGTCCTCTAAGACCACATAGTTTAATCAGATTTTAGACAACACCATAATCACAGTCGAGAGGAAACTTGACCCACACCCCCCCAAAACACACACCTCCTCCATGTAGTAGGTACTCTGCTAGTCCATGATGTGCATATAGAACACTCAAAGCTACCTAGTAGGCTTAAGTAGTAGGACTTCCATTTGACACTAGATCCAGAGGTTAAGTAGCCTGCCTGAGGTCACAGCTAGTACATGAGGGAGCCAGGGAGCCAGTTTGGGTATGCCTAACTCCAAAGCCCATTCATTGGCTTGACCACTAGTTTGCAAGTAGAAAGGGATTCATGTTACATGAGACATAGTGCAGTAGAGATGCTAGAAGAATAGAGGAGGTGACCTAAAGGATGTCCTTAAAGGACACCGCAGTCATAGGGGGTTATGCAGGGACAGGGACCAGAGCCTAAGGTGGCAGGCGAGTAATGTGGGGAGAATTACTGGAAATGGAAGGTTTTAAAAATCCCATGTCTCTTCCTGCCTCTCCCTCTTCACACACCTCTCTACTTGGTATTTACTGGACACCTCTGTGCCTTAACCAGTGCCAAGCACAGGGGATACCACAGGAGAAAAGCACCTAGATGGGCACATTATGTTATGTTCTAGTGCCAACAACCAGAGAGGGCTCTGGAGTGGACTCTGAACTGGGACTGGCATTCAGATGGGCAGAATAAGGGATCCCTAGTGGCAGGCCCATGAACTGTGGACTGAGGGCTGCTATGGGGAGTTAGAATGGTGGTTTGGGGAGTGTGGTGTAAGGGCTTCGGGTGTCATCTACAAGAATCTGGCATTGGCCCAGGTTTGGAGGCAGGAAAGCTCTTCTCAGACACCTTCCCGAGTGTCAGGCAGAGAGGACAGGGTCATGAGCTGTGGTCTCAAAGCCATAAGGGTCTCAGAAGTCATTGCAGTCATAATAGTTGCCAATAGGTCTGTGGACTGGATTTGATCCACCCAGTGTTTCAAGTAAATTATTGAGCAAACTTGGTGGGGAGGGCTCTGGCCTCATCTTTGAGCCCAGGAGCCTGAAGTTGTAGTTAAGATAGCCTTTGAACTGTTCCCCCAAGAAACAAAAATGGGAGGACTAGTGCTCTAATGTGACCTTCAAGATCAGAAAAAGACTTGCCCTGGGTCCCAGCAGTGCAGGGCACAGAACCAACTCCAGGCCCTTTAGGGTGTGTATGCTGACCTCAGCCACCTGCTTATAGCTGAGAACATGAATGAGGAAGACATCAAATTTCCAGTAAACACACCTCTAATATTTGAACTGGCCCTTGGGGAGTAGAAGGGGTAGGGTGTTACCCAATTAACCAGGAAAAGAACACGGAAGAAAACTGTCGATCTTTTAAAACCTTTAATAAAGTACATGTTTTCTAAGGCTGGCCCTCTGACCCCCTCAGCTCTTTCTGACTCAAGGTTCTCACCCCAGATCCCCACATTATGTCAGAAGGGGCCATCAGGCGGGGCACTCATCAGCTGCAGCTGGCGAAAAGTTAATCCCAGTTACCGCAGTGGGCACAGGCTGGAGGCCAGCCGCCAGGTCCAAGGCAGAGCTGCTGATGGGTGTGTTGCAGTCAGGTTACCAGGAGACAGGATTTCCTCGGTCTTCCGAGTGGCCAGGTAGGCCCTGGTTAGGACACAGACGTCTGGCCAGAGTCCTCTGACCAGGAGCAGCTGGCAGGAGTTCCAGGTCCCTTCCAGGTTGTCCTCGTGTGCTAGGAAAATATTTTCCTTATGTGTCATGTCATGGGAAGCACTCAATTGAGATGAAAGGACTTCAGTCACAGGCTTTTCTGCCAGAAAACCACTTCTACATGCTCAGAGCTGGGGGCAGGGGGCTGAAAGGCAGTGCTTTTCCACATGCACCTGTCCGTCCGTCCGTCCGTCCATCCACCTGTTCCCTTGCCAATTATTTATTGCACGCTCACCAGGCACCATGCTGGATGCCAGAGATAAAGTGGTGAACAAGACACCCTTAGAGGGTGAATTTGGGAGACTAAGGCCAAGGGAGTGGCAGGTTCCGCACAGATACAGCATTTAATGGTTGTACCGGATCTGAAGTGGATCCTACCCCTCCTAAAGCTACCCGGTGGGCATGGGCATGGATGGGCATGGGCAGCATTTGGGGAAAGGATACTGGGTAGAAATGTGGCCTAAAAGGATGGTGGGCAGGCAGATCTAGCCTCCCCAGGGCCGAAGGTCAGTGGACAATGGAAATGGTCTGGTCAGCCACAGCAAAGACTGGGAAGAGGGGCCCAGGGAAGGACGCGTGGTGGGTGTGGAGCACGGTGCCCGAGGCCGGATCGTAGAACAGCAGCTCCTGGGCCTGCAGGTCCAGCAGCACGCCCAGCTGGGCGGGGCAGCGCAGCAGCCCCAGGGGCTCGTGCTGCCCGTCGTGCGAGAAGCAGAACTCTTGGTCGTAGCGGGAGAAGACCCAGGAGCAGGCATTGTGGCCCAGGCGAGAGTCACTGCCAGAACCCTTGCGGGGCAGCTGGCCTAAGGCCACGCCCACCTTGTAGGCACCACTGTTCTGCACATTCACCATCCACGCGTGCAGCCCGGACTGGAAGGAGGTGGCGGCCAGGGCATTGGGCCAGTGGTCAAAGCGCTCTGGGCCATCTGCGCAGGCCTTGGACTTCTTGGCGTTGAAGGTCAGAGTCCTTCCATCGTCAGACAGTTGCAGGAAGGGGCTGACGGTCCTCTCATCGATGCGCACATCCTCTGTGCCTGCCAGAAAGAATCTCAGAGTTACCCAAGGTCCACCCTCAGCCCTACCCTGGTCCTGCTTCCTTAGCACTCCCTGGCAGTGTGACCTCAGGCAAGCCATTTACTGTCTCTGAGCCTCAGTTTCCTCATCTGTAAAATGGGGATCAAAATAGGACTTACCATAGGACAGATGTAAGGATCAAACGAGATGACACATGGAAAGTACCCAGCAACAATATGTGCTCAATAAATTGTGGTCATAACAGTAGTTATTACTATTTGTAAACTCTGGTAGAAATAAGGCCCAGAGAAGCGAATTGCCCAAGGTCACACGCAAAGTTGGTGGCAGGGACAAAATTAAGACCCAGCACGTTGTTCCTACATCGAGCATCTAGCACTGATCATACTGCGTTCCAGTTGGGCAAATTTACAGCTTCCAGATCAGACCTGTCCTGGGAACAGTATGCCCCTGGAAGCTGGGAAGCATCAGGGATGCAGTTTCCAACAACTAACTCCATGGGACTGCCAGCAAATCAGGTAATATTTGACACCTGACTCTAGAGAATATGTACTAGCTTTTTAAGGAGAATGGGGAATGGGAAACCTCGCCACTGGAAGGTGGTGAGGGTTAAAATGGAGAAAAATGTCAATTCACTAATTAACCTAAGTCTGTGAATTGTGCAACTACCACAACTGGGAGAATGGACACTTCTGTCTGGCTTGGGGGGAGCCTGCTTTGAGAACCCCCACACTAAGTGGGAATTTGTGGAGGCAGGAGACCGTGTCGCCTTCACCTCCGTGGCCGCAGCAAGGTCAGGTCCACAGTCAGCCTAAGTCAATGTTTGTTAAGTGAGACGAATCCAGGAAGCTCAATTCTTGATCCCAGTTGGCCATCAATTACATATCTTCTTAAAGAGAAACCAGGTTTCCAAGAAATAATTCTGAGCTGTCTCAGTAGGCAGGGCATGAGGAGGACGTAGTTTACCAGAACAAGATTGACCCTAAACCCAGCTACAGAGCAGGTGGGTTTGCAACTGCAAAAGACCTGGCCCAGGTGCCCCAGGCCTTGCCAGAACCTTGGCTCCATTGACAAACCTGCACCAGGTATCACTGGTTGTCTATGCTACCATCCCGAATGCACCGGTCCCCGGTCCCCGGTGTTGGCCACAGCAAACCACAGACAGACAGACAGACAGACAGGTGCCCGTTGCTCCAACAGGTGCTGGGCTTGAGCTTCTAACCTGAGAGGGAGCCGAGAGCTGCCGTTGCCCAGAGCTGGGTCAGAAGTGGGCTCCAAGCACACGTCTCGTTAAAGTTTAACTTTTTCGACTCCTGGGGATCCAAAATGCCCTCTGCTTCCTCGGTCCTTGTAAGAAAGAAAACAAAACAGATTCAGAAAGGTTCTGGAAATGTTTCTGGGTCAAATGTATCTGATTTGGATGGTGGGGGATGAAGTGGCAGAAAATCCTCTTCCTACAAGGATGACACTAAGATTGACAACCAGCCCCAGACAGGAGCTGCCTAAAGGGGGCTGGGGCCAAAGGGAAGGTGGACATTCCCCCCTGTGCACCCTCCACTCCCCCAAGCCTTAATTATGCAAGGCAGATGATTGACAGGGTGGTAACTGCTTGGCGCCAGTGTCATAACTTGGAGTTATTCTGCTCTGGGCCGAAGCTACTCGTCCAAGGATCTGGACGGGGTTAGGACTTGGGCCCCGTGGGCCTCAGTGCAGCAGTCTTCCCGCTCCACCTTCCCGCCCAGAGAAAGTCTCACCTCCCTCCAAACCAATTGCAGCCGTAATGCTGCCCTCGGTTTGATTAGCTGGCACAGCCAACTCCTCTGCTCTTAAAATGCCAACACCCCTGTGGGGTCACACAGGAAGGGACTATCAGCTATTTACCCAATCATAAATTATTCACAGCACTTTGCTCCCAGTAACTACCTCTCCTCCGCTCAGGGCTGGGGACTGGGTTTGGTTGGAGAGAGCATTTGGGAACGAGGAGAGTTGCCACTTATTAAGCAGCAAGGCCCTGGGCTTGTTCCTTTCTATACAGAATCTCTCATCATCTTTGGTATCACCTGGGAGGTACTTGTTACCCACTTAACAGGCGAGAACAGAGAAGACATTCAGCTAAAAAGGGGAGCTGATTTAAGTCCTACCTGCAGGCACCATTCAACATAATTCTCTCCTTGACCAGAAGTGAAGTCTCAAAGGGTATAGAGCAAAGTGGGGATTCGCCAAGAGCTTTGCAGCCTTTTGGACTGGGTTCTGAGAAAAAAACTGCCCACTGCCTCTAATCCTGAGGATGGTTCTGAGATCAGGCAGCAGTTCTGAGAGTATACGCTGTCTGCCCCAAATCCCCAGCTCTGCCCATTAATGAAGGAGAGGGGAGGGTGGGCCATGTCTCATGGAGGCCTGCCCTTTGCAAAACTGTCGCTGACTATCCTGGCTTGGGAGGAGCGAGGTAAGCAGAGCCCTAGGAAAGCTCAGAGCAGGCTCTAGTGACAAAAGCTCTTTGTGGTCAAGACAACAGGGGGCCTGATGCCTCTTCTCAAAGCAGTGAGGCTGGGTCTTCAGGGACCCCAGCCGTCAGGTGGGGAGGAAAGAGGACCAGTGTCTGCATTGCTAAGCCATCATCCCAGAGCAAATCTGAGGCCAATCATAGGCACCAGAATCTAGAAGATCAGCTGGCCCATGTGCCTTCTGATACAGAAGAGAAAATTGGTGGTAGTGAGTTGGGGTTCGCACACAGCAGGGCCTTGGCTGGGACCAGAAGGCCTGGTCTGGGCAGCAGGACCTGTTGCCATGACAGGCTGCAGCGGAACCAGCCGGGGATGTGGAAACAAAATTAGATCCAAAAAAGGCATTTCTCAGACAAGTGAGTTCCCAGCTAGAAGGTGCTTGACAACTTTTGAACACAAAAATGCTTTCTTTGAGAGTCCACACTCTCTGTCTAAAGGCACAAGGAACCACAAATAAATCTTGACTTCTACCAATGGGTTTGTCAGTAGTATTTTTTTTTCTAAATATATTTTTATTGATTTCAAAGAGGAAGGAAGAGGGAGAGAGAGGCAGAAAAATCAATAATGATAGAGACTCATTGATCGGCTGCCTCCTGCACACCCCCTACTCGGGATCAAGCCCACAACCCAGCATATGCCCTTGACAGGAATCAAACCTGAGACCCCTCAGTCCGCAAGCTGACGCTCTATCCACTGACCCAGACTGGCGAGGGCTGTCAGTAGTATTTTGTTAAGCACTTCTCAAACTCTGTGTGTATTATAGGACCAAACAAATGAATGGCTATATTGCTGTTGTTGGGTGCCAAGGTTCTCACTGTGAAAAAAGAAATATATGAATGTAGAATGGGAGAAATCAAAGGAAAAATGCTGTGGCGTTCCCTTGGAATTAGAGTTTGTAATACAAACTCGTGAATAAAAAGACCACTCTCACTTCCCAGCTCTGTCTGCTGTCTACTGAGAAGGCCTGGAAGCAATGATGCATCGGCAGCAATGCACATCTACTGCCCAGATCTCAGTTTTTAAATACCATTCCCCACTACAAGGAACCGAGAGTCCCTGGAGAAACAGCTGGTTCCAGGTCTGAGGCAGGAAAAGAACAAGGTGATCCTGGGACATTGTGTTGTGCTGTGACACAAGAAAGTACTCAGAGAATGATGGGGTGAGCTGCATGACTCGGTAGTTGTGTCCACCTATGAACCAGGAGGTCATGATTCAATTCCCGGTCAGGGCACATGCCCAGTTGTGGCCTCGGTCCACAGTGTGGGGCATGCAGTAAGCAGATGATTAATGATTCTCTCTCATCATTGATGTTTCTATTTCTCTCTTCCTCTTTGAAATCAATACAAATATACTTATTTAAAAAATAATAATAATAATGGGGACTTTATTCAAAAGGACCCAGGATCCAGCCCCAAGGAACTAAAACTGGTCAAATCTAGGACAGTTTGAAGATCAAAATTAGTAATAGTAGTAGTAGTATCAGATTAATGCACTGAATAAAAAAAAATTCACAAGTCTATATTTACACTAAATAAATGAATGGACAAACAAGCAAATAAGTGAATAATTCAGGAATTTAGCATCAATGCAAACTAAAATTATGGGATAATATCTGAAGGTGTAAAGAGGCTATTTATACAAAATGCACCCCCTCACATTGCTTATTCATTACAAAAGTAAAGATACAGCTTTATAATGAAGAAAACTGGTAGGCACCATTTCATCCATGTGATCAAAACTGACATCCCTGATAATGGGACACAGTGACATCATGTGCCCTCTGATTTGACAGAATGAGAACACATCACTTCTGAGATATTCTTGCCAAAAATGCATAACCTGAACCCAATCATGAGGTAACATCCCCATCAAATTGAGGAATGTTCTACAAAACAACTGTCCTAGACTCATTAAAAATGTTTTCTTTTTTGAAAAAATGAAGGAACAATTCTAGATTAAAAGAGAACAGATGGACGGGGACGGAATAGGGGTGGGGGTGGAGGGGAGTGGGAGGGGGAGGAGGACGACCCAACAAAAAGAAACCACTAAACACTGTTAAGAACTTTTTTTTTGGTACAATTGGCTGTAGATTTGGATATAGACTGTACTAATGTATTAGATTATAGTATTATACCAACATTAAATTGCTGAACTTGATAATTATACTGTGGTTATATAAGAGAATGTCTTTGTTCTTTGGAGATAAATGCTGAAGACACACTGGCTGGGTTATAATTTTTTTAAAAAAAAGATACTATGCTAGTACAGAGGAGCAATCATCTTGATAGATAGGAAAAAAGAGACAGTGAGAAAGAGCAAACATGGCAAAATGTTAATACAATTAGTATTTCTAGGCAAAGGTCATTATAATACTTATTCTAACTTTTCTGAGTTAAAAATAGTCAAAACAAAAAATTCAAAGATCAAAATTTTTTTCAAAAATCACATCAACTTGATATTGCAGACAGACTGACTGTATTAGAGGAAGACGGTAAAGATAGAGAAAAAAGAGAAGACTAGCAGAAATGTGGGAAGATTATAGGAGGGAAAAAGTAGGAACAAGCCAAATACACATTAAAAGGAGACAAAAACCTGGCCAGTTTGGCTCAGTGGATAGTGTCAGCCTGGAGACTAAAGGGTCCCAAGTTCGATTCTGATCAAAGGCATGTACCTTGGTTGTAGGCACATCCCCAGTGGTGAGTGTGCAGGAGGCAGCCGATCCATGTTTCTCTCTCATCCATGTTTCTGACTCTCTTCCCTCTCCCTTCATCTCTGTAAAAAAAATCAATAAAATATATATATATATATTTTTAAAAAGCTGCTACAAACAAAAAAAAGGAGACAGAAACCTGGACAGTGTGGCTCAGTGGTTGAGTGTCAACCTATGAATCAGGAGGTTACAGTTTGATTCCCAGTCAAGGCACATGCCTGGGTTGCAGGCTTGATCCCCAGTGTGGGGCGTGCAGGAGGCAGCCAATCAATGATTCTCTCTTATCTTTGATGTTTTTATCTCTCCTTCTCTTTCCCTCTCTCTAAAAATATACTTAATAAAAATATATATTTAAAAAAACAAAAGGAGACAGACAGTAAGATGAATGTGGTGCATCCATACTGTGGAATACTTCACAGACTTTCTGAAAAGTGAAGTAAATCTATCTACATGTACTCACGTGGAAAGATTCCAAGTTAGCCTGATAAGTTAATAGAACAGCAAGTATAAAAATGATCCTATCTTTATTTTTTTTAAATATTTATTAAGGAGGCAAAAATTCTCCTATAATTATACACAGGAAAATCCCAAAAACATACAACTAACTGTTAAAACTGATCACCTCTAGAAAATGAGGTTGTGAAGAGATGACTCATTTTTAATTTGAATAGTTTTATATTGGCGGACTTCTTTTCTGTCTCTCATACATATGTATTGCTATTGAAACTTAAATACAAAAATAGGTAAGAAGAATGGGCGGCGCTCCTCAAGTACCGCTCTGAAAGCTTGCACAGATTAAGAATTCAATATCTTTGCCTGGCAATTTACATCCTTTCAGCCATTTCCTCAGGCTCTTGATTCCCAGCCTTTTGGTACCTAGGGAGGGCCTGGTGAAATTCTTTTCATATTGCATAATTAAAATGCAAATTTGAGGAGGCAATCCTGCGACAGGTGTCAGGTGTGGGGCCCAGTCCCAGCTCTGGAGCTTGGGCAAGTCCCTTCCCCTTGCTGAGCCTAGGCATTCGCATGTGTAGATGGGCTGGTAAAGCCCTCCAACAGGGCGACTGTACTGTTTTTAATGGGATAATGTTGGAGTGTGGCGAGCCCCGGGTTAATCAGTAATTATTTCACTCCCTTACACATGGGTCTAAAGCAGTTCTCCACGCGAGGAGCAGGAAGGCCCCGTCCATTGAGCCTGGCTCCAGAGAAGCACTCACAGCCACACACCCTGGGCTTTCCCCTGGAGCAGCGGAGCCTGAAGGCGGTGAACTATTCAGAGGCCGAAGGCCATGGTTTCCATGGCTGCCCAAGCAAATCAGGGACCATACTCACCTCTCAAAAATCTCCTGCTCCTTCTGCTGTGAGAAAAGAAAACAGGATCAGGCTTGGCACCAGAAACCCAGCAGGCAGTCAAGATCTGAATAGATTCAACTGACGTGGTGGAGGGCTCCATGGGGACGGAGACTCTAGGATAAAAAATTCTACTCCTTCTTTAAGACAAAGCACAAAGCTGCATGGGTTCCTCGCATACCTCCCACCCCCCTCTCAGAATGAATCACTCTTCCCCTCCCTCACCCCCCACCCCCGTGCCCCATGGTGTAGGTGAAGAAAACTGAGGACCTATTTACCCAACATTTCATCCCCCGTCAAGACTGTCAGCAACGAGATGGCTGGGACCCTTTCTGACTCTTTCTTTGTGACTGTCCCAGTGTTTGGGACAGAATGTGCTCTGTCTACGGAAGCTGTGTGACTGACTGAATGCACAATCTAGGGCAGTCATGGAAACTGTCCTACTTGAACTGCAGTGGGACAGATAGCTCAGTTGTTCTACATTCTCGTTCCTCTGCCTGGCATATTTATTCAGATGTCACAATGTCCCTTAAAACTGCAGATATCTGGATAGCTGTATAAAATACCACTACTTGGAAAGGATAGGTACCGAAATATTAATCATAGTAATTTCTAGATGGCAGGATTAAAGATGAGCTGTATGTTTTCATATTGGACTCCTTGTCAATTCTTCAGGTATGGAGTTATCGCTCCACCTCCCCACTTCCTTTAACACAGTTGCAACTCTTATCTTTCAGGCATTAGTTTCTAAGTCACTTGATCCAGGAGGCTTTCCCTGACCCCCTCAAGTTTGGCTTGTGGGGTCCCTAGCTCCCAGGAATGTCATTAAAAATATATTTCTAAAAATCTATATAATTTTATTCTCCTGACTCATCCCTGCTTCAAATTACCATTAACCACCCACCTCCAACCAATAAACATTCTCCATGTTTTCAGACTTCTTGGCCAATAGGTCAGGCGCTCACCCTTGCCTGACTTACAATCAGCTGGAGGTCATCCGTATGGGTGAGCATGTCCACCAGGCTGGTGCGGATGGTGTCGAGCTTCTGCAAAGCCTCAGTCCAGTGCACTCGCTGCGTCAGGATGCTCTGGTGCGCCCGCTCCTCTTCGCCATGCACCCGTTCCAGCAACCGCTGCTCCTCAGTCTCACATAGAGTCCTCACCAGACCCAGCCGCTGGATGACCAGTTCCCGCGCTGCACTGGCCATGCTCTAGAAGGGGGGAAAAAAGGAAGAGTCAGATCCTGGCAAAGCCCCATTCAAGATTAGGAGGGTTTCGCCCTAGCTGATTTGGCTTGTATGTCAGCCTGCAGACTGAAGGGTCCTGGGTTCAATTCCGGTCAAGGGCACATGCCCAAGTTGCAGGTTCGATCCTCAGTAGAGGGCATGCAGGAGGCAGCTGATTCTCTCTCATCATTGATGTATCTATCTTTCTCTTCCTCTCCCTTCATCTCTGAAATCAATAAAAAATATATTATATATAAAAAAAGATTACGAGGGTTTGGGCACAGCCCAAAGGAGTGCCAAAATTGATCGGCAATGTCTGTCATGGACACTATAGTGGCAGTGACAATGCTTAAGCCATCCCAACCCTAAGAGTTCCCAAATATGGTTTCAGGTAAAGAAATGTGAAATCCAGACATCCAGGCTACATCTCACAGAACCAGGTTCCCAGAATGGAAGAGATGGGCAGGGCCTAGAGATTAACTAGAGTCACCTACCTATTTCACAGCTGGGAATACCAAGGCCAAGGGACCAAGGTCAGAGGTCATAGAATTACAGAAGGGCCTACAAGGTCATCCCCATCAACAGGATCTGTACCAACAGTGGTCCAGTTGATATTTTTGACCATGTCTGAAAACAAAAACGTTTTTATTTCCTAATTGTCCATTCCAACTGCTTCCATGGTAGAATTCTTTCCTGCCACACAGGAGGCCTGAAATCAGTTCTCAGCCAATAAAGTTAATATGTATCTCCCAGCAACTAGCACAGTGTCTGCCACATAGTAGGCACTCAAATATTTACGGAATGACTGATAGGAAATTTTTCCCCAACTTAGTCAAAAATCTCTTGATAGCAGTCACATGCTAAGTCAGTGACAGAGCTGGGATTAGAACGCAGTTCTCTTGACTTTTGGTCCAACACTATCCCCCTACACCACTGCCATCTGGGAATCAGTCCTACCCAAAGGTATCTGCTGCATGAAGTGAGAGGAGGACAGTCTCCATGCCAAGGTCAGAGATAGCCAACAGCTTCCATGTGTCCTGCCCCTGAAGACCTGCTTTGTACAGTGCAGATGACAATTATGCCTGTTTAACAGAAGAAACTGAAACCCATAATTTGCCCAATGGGGAAAAGGGAGTGGCTAAATGTACAGTCCAGTGAATCTGGGAGTTCAGATTCCACTTCAGTGTTCTCATAAAGCAATGTGACATAGGGGTTGGGAAATTAGGTTTTGAAGACAGTTCCAAAGTTTAAATCTTGGCTGCTCCACTTATTATATGAGGAACTTTAATCACATTACTTAACATCCCTATGCCTCAGTTTTCTAATCTGTCAACTGAGGATGATACCGCATAAGGCTGTTGTAAGGATTAAGTGAGTTAACACATGTAAAACAAATAGAACAAAGCTGGCACCTGAGGGCTCAGGAACATTGGTGATCCTTCTTCCCTTTTCCCACTTTGATGCCCACAGTGCCCTGAGTCTGTGCAGCTGTGCTTATACCATGTGATCAGGATCAAGAACAGACCCTGACCCAAGAGACATCAGTTACCCCCTGAGTAGAAGATGGCAATCAATTCCAACACCTTTCTTGAGTCATTCCCTAAAATGAATAGCAAAGGAAAAAAGCTTCCCTTTCTGAAGATATGATAGAGTAAACTAAAAACTCTCCTACAACACAGAAACGCTGGAAAAATAACCCAAAGCATCCTTTAAAAAGTGAAGCTGCGTTGGCAGCTAATTAAATGAAATAACCTGGAGTCCAAAAATAAAAAAGAAACAGGAAACCAGTGCAATCAGGAGCTGAAGATTCAGTTGCCGTGGGTTGGGCTTGTGATTTGCTTTAGACTTTTATACTCATCTAAACCATCATGCAAGGGCATACAAGGTCACTATAAAGTGATAAAGGAATGGTTTACCAAGAATATATACCATGCTCTATCGATGGATAGAGCATCGGCTTGGGGACTGAAGGGACCCGGGTTCGATTCCAGTCAAGGGCATGTACCTTGGTTGCGGGCATATCCCCAGTAGGGGGTGTGCAAGAGGCAGCTGATCGATGACTCTCTCTCATCGATGTTTCTAACTCTCTATCTCTCTCCTTTCCTCTCTGTACAAAATCAATAAAATATATTTTTTAAAAAAAGAATATATACCTAATTAAATATTAGGTATATATTTCATAAATATATATCTCATAAATAGCACCAACATATAAAAAGAATAGTTGACAGAATCATAAAGAAAACTAGACAAGTCCATAGCATGTTATGAAAATGTAAATAAATGCCTTTTGCCAGTAATCAATAAATCTGACAGATAAAAATTTAATACAGAGATGATTTGATCCAATTAATAAGCTTAATTAGTAGACACATATAGAACCCTATATATTTTTTCAAGTGAATATGAAATGCTCACCTAAATTGATAATGTTTTAGGGCATGAAGCAAGTCCCAACAAATTTCAAACAATTGATGTCATACAGATTACAATACAGTTAAGTTAGAAATTAATTTAAAAAAATGATGATAATGTAAAGAATAAAACCATATACTTGGATATTTAAAAATCTATTTCTAATAACTCATAGTGAAAGAAAAAAACATAGTGGAAATTTAAAAATACTTGTAACTGAATGCAAGTACA